TTGCTGCTTTAATTAAGTACTATGGATGTGATTAATTAAAATCCTTTTTAAATTAAAGAGGATAAGAACATTTAATCTCATTTAATATATATATATATATATATAAAATACCCCTACCATAAAACGACTAGTCTTTACATCGACTACTTTTCCAACTACTTTTTTTTTTCAATGACTAGTTTTTATAATGGCTAGTTTTCAAACAACTCTTTTCTTATAACGGCTACTTTTCCAACAACTAGTTTTTATAACGGTTTTTTTACAACAACTCTTTTTTTTCCAATTATTTTTGCTAGTTTTGGATTGTATATTGTTTGTATCTACTTTTAATATTATTAATTTTGAAAAATTTAGTTTTATATCATTCTTACATTTTTTTTAATATTCATTCTAAAAATTAAAATTGAATGAAACAAACAAAATCGCCAGACAAACACAATATATTATTTTTTCTAGTAGATAACAAATACAATATAATAAAATGTCTAAACAAAAAGCATAAAAGATTAGTCATAATTGGACATAATCTTTGCACAAATACGCTTATAAGTGCCAATTATTCAACACTCATACCCTTAGTCTCCTTGAAGAAGATATCATATTCTTTGGCAGTTGCATGTCTCATGTACACTTTGTTATATTCTTCTTGAACAATCATTTTTTTCTTTGATGCCCACTATATTAGTTCGAAGTTCTGTAACTCCATTACCATCATTATCGTTGCGTGATTTTCTTTTTTTTTTCCCTTTATCTTTATCTTTTGTGTTTCTTTTCTTGGCTGCTTTTTGTTTATCGGGCAAACATGTCTTCAATGTCATTAATTTCAATACTTGTGTCAGCATTTGATGATGAAGTGTAGTTCCAGATTCATTGATTTTTTATCTCTTGATTGGGTCTTCAATGGAAGCATAAACATTCTATTTTGGATATTTTCAATATTTTCCGTACATTTTTATGTTGTAAATGTTTACCTTTATTTTGATGGTAAAATAATTCATGAGAAACTTCCTTTATTTGCTCATTATTTCAATCATAACGGTATTCATTTCACAATCTATTAAAGTGTTGATCAAAATTATTAACATATTTTTTAGAAACACTGCCAATGAAATTTGCACTGATCTTGTTCTCTTCTTGGAAAAGATCTCATGTTCTTGCTATATATATAGTAATCCACTTCCAAAACTCTTTCATGTCTTGATAGTAACATTGCAATTAAAAGTTATGAGCCACGAGCGAGAAGTCGGTCTTTATCCACACTCTAATTTTATAATTTGAGGTATTTCTTTCTGTGGTTCTTACAATAGAGAAATATTTCTACTCCAAATTGAGTTGAATATAATGGAAAATGACTTTAAGAGATTGATCCCATAGGTGTTGAACCTCGAGAGTCAGTTGTCCCATAGCGTCTCTTCTTGTTGAAATTGGTGCTAATGGAGTACCCATAGACATATTTGTGTTAACAAATCTCGGCGGAAAACTATTTCCAAACAATTGTCAAAAGTAACCGGGTGGTTGATACATCATGAACGAGTTTGAAAATTTTGATGAACTTCCATGAATTGGAGGAACATTTACACAAAATTTTGCATATTGGGTTGTTAGTTTTGGAGTGAAAATGAATGGAAATTTTGGAAAGTATTATTGAGGAGAGGAGACGGATTTTCATTACTTCGAGAAAGTTTCTTAGGACTTAAATGGATGATGGTTTATTTTAGTTTTTGGTTTAGTTTTGGTTTGAATTTGAGATGTGATTTAAAATGTGTTTTGAGAGAAAATATAAAAACTTGTTTGGATATATTTTAATTAAAATATTATTATTTTTCTACCACCACCGGACCACCGCCACCACCGGTCGGCGTCGACGACCGGCCGGCCGGATTCCGGCTAAATTCCGGCGAGTTGACTGGAGGGTGGTCCGGTGGTGGTGGACGAAAATTGTGTAAAAATAATGTTTGAAATATTTTTTAAAAGGTGAGTAAAAATGTTGTATTGATAGTGAATTAAATTTTATGTTTAAGAGGTAAAATGAAACAAAAAGGTAAAATGAGAGTTGGCCAAATAACCCCTTTTTTTTTTCTTTTATTCATGATAGATGGAAAAGAGTAAGAAGGTGAAGAGAATGTGATATAAAAGAATTGGATTGGTCCTATTTATGGAAAATTTTTAATTTAAAAATTATAAAATTTCTTTTATCTCTTCGAATAGATATATTGTTAGCTTGTGGATAATTTGTTGATTTTTTAGCCATTGTATTGATAGAATGTTTATCATTTTCGAAATTTTTCTAGGATAAAAATAGCAAAGAACTCAAAAAATGATAATAATGGCTTATCCCAACGGCCATGTGCAAAGTTGAAATGAAAAAACAAAAAGAGAAAGGAAAAATGGAGGTGCTGCGGCTGTCCATGTCTGCGGGCCAGTCATCTTATTTAATGGAAAATAATTTCATTTGTGCACACAAAATTGCTTTACTGCTGACAACTAAACAAGCACTTATTTTACCTCTTAAATACAAAACTTAATGGAAAAGAAAACATCATCCAAACAACTTTCTGATTTATATTTTAAATTCCAATTTGAAACACCTTTTGTTAGTATAATGACCATTTTTGAACTAAAAATAGTTCAGTGACGAAATCTAACAAAAGAAAATCTTAGAGTGACAAATTTGCCAAGTTTCCGTTGTTTAATGATTGTTTTTAAAAAATTTCTTTTTTAAAGTGACTATAATTGACAGTATTTAATTGTTTAGTGATGACTCGTACTTTATATTTTCAAAATGTAGTTCAAAATATTTTTTTCAAAACCAACATCCAAATAACTTTTTGCTCAAAATACCACCAAACAACATTTTCATTTCCCATTTAGTTTTCAACTTGAAACAATTTCCACGTTTAAGTGGCAAAATGAAATGTAAGATGACGTCCAAACAAGCACTCAGACAATCACTCCAAACACTACACTCAGTTTTTCAATTCAACAATTGAAAGGAATTGAGGGCGTTGGATGGTATTTTGTAAAGAAACCACAATTTTTTGGCCAATTTTATGGAAAGTGGCGCGTTATCTGTGTATTAAAGAATAAAAAGTTTGAAGTAAAAAGAATAAAAAAAAAAAAGCCTGAAACCCAAAAGATTTTCTCAACCATTGTGAAAAAAAATGAAGGTAGATATCGTGTAGAGGACTATGACGGGACATTGAAAAATTTTTAGAAAAGAGATAGCCATTGTCCTTGCTCTTAATATTCCTGACATTATCCACCAATCCAACTATCGGTTTGAAATACTCTTATAATTAAAGATGCCTTAAGAGTAACTACGTATACGATGCTATCCCATTTTGTAGAATTTCGTCAATGCTACATCACAACTCCACTACACATTTTCATTTTTTACAATGGTAAAACCCTATAGTCACACAAACTTGCTAGAGCAACCATAGTGGAGAGTAACTGGCTTCGAATCACGTGCCAGTTACTGTCACTATTACTTCACCCCATTGTAACCCGTAACAAAGAAAACTACCTGGCTTCTTCTGTTTCCTGACATATGCTGTAAAACATTGCCAACCTACAATAAAACCCATTACGGTGAAAAAAAAATTATTTTGTTCTCAGGGAAAAAAAAAAGGCTGCGGGTAACACCTTTGAAGAAAAAACAAAAGCAAATAAATGTAGGGTTAATATTTTCAACTTTGGCAAAAAAAGCCCATGATGCTTGATTGTTCGTTCACTCATTTTACATTTTAACGCATTTTACCTCTTAAACAAAAAACTCAATGGAAAAGAAAATATCATCCAAACAACTTTCTGATTTACATTTTAAAATCTAACTTGAACCACTTTTTGTTAGTGTAGTAACCATTTTTTGGAACTAAAAATAGTTCAGTGACTAAATCTAAAACTTTGCACATTTATTTCAATTTACTTCTAGTCAAAAAACACTTTCTACAATTGATGGCGGTTAGGAAAAAGTTTTTTTGGAATATGTATTGAAATATCAAGTAAAAAAATATCACTAAACAATCAAAAAGTGTCAATTTTGATCACTGTGAAAAAAAATTTCAAAAATTATCACTAAATAACGGAAATATGTCGATTTTGGTCACTGTAAAATATTAATTTTAGATGCTATTCCGTGATTTTAGTGATCATTTTACAGTTGTTTAGTGATCATTTTTGAAATTTTTTTTTTACAGTGACTAAAATGGGATTTCCGTTGTTGAGTGATTGTTTTGAAAAAGTTCAACTTTGTAGTGACTAAAATGGGATTTCCGTTGTTAAGTGATTGTTTTTGGAAAAATTCATTTTTGCAGTGACTATAATTGACGGTATTTAATTGTTTAGTGATGACTCTTACATGATATTTCAAAATGTAGTTCAAAATATTTTTTTCAAAACTAATATCCAAACAACTTTTTGCTCAAAATACCATCCAAACAACATTTTCATTTCTTATTTAGTTTTCAACTTGAAATACTTCCCACTTTTAAGTGATAAAATGAAATGTAAGATGACGTCCAAACAATCACCATATTTTCCACCACACTGGTAACACCAGTGGTTGCTCTTAATCATTTTTTAGGCCATTTGGGTAAGAAATTTGACAAAAAGACAGGTTGTCTTGTCTGCAGTATTTCTGCTAATATTAAAACTTAAAAAAATGGTAGTGTCTGAATGCCCTAATCTTTAAAGAATCAAACTGTGTCTCAGGCTATGTTTGGATGGTTTTTTTTAGTGTATTTTTTTATTAGAAATGTAAAACGGTATATTGAAAATATAAAAAGTGTATTGAAAATGTAAAAATATATGTTGGATTGAATAGATATTAATTAAAAATTATCGAAAAATCAATAAAAAACGAACCAAACAGAGCCTCAGTCTAATAACTCTAAGGCCCAACAGAAAATAAGCTGGCCAAAATCGGAGGCTAAAAAGCCTACGTCTATAAGATACTAGAACACAGCTGGGTTGAAGTTTCGCCACAAAAGCCCCGCCACGTCGCTCTTACACAAATGATTATTGGAAATCTTACGTACGAAGTTGGATCTATCAAATTTGTCAGAATTCCCTTTTCTTTACTCCAAAATCGCTTTTGCAAAAGCTCCACCTCTGTTAACCGAAGTGACAGACTATTTAATGGGGAAAGAGAGTTGGGGGACCAAATTTATTTCCTTTTTCTTACTCAAATTCGAGCCTTCTCTGTGCTTCGACACGAGGCCTTCCCAAAAACCCATCTTCGGTTTTTCACTTCTGCAGAATATTCGGCTCAGATCCTGACCGATTCTTGAACTTATCATACATGATTCATCGTACAAGATTCAAAAAGGGTCGAACTTTAATTAAATTCCCACTGTTTTGATCGCGGGTTGCTTCCGTATTGGTGCATTGTTATTCTCGTAAGGAGGCTGAAGAGGGAAGATGGTTTCTTTGCATGAAATTAATGAAGAAAGAGGAGAGCAGGGGAGGAGGAGGAGCAGAGGCGCAGATAATGCGAATAATACCTACAGGGCTAAAGGTGCTGGAGTGGTCGCAGAGGATGATACTACAATTGATACTTCCAGTAGCAGTAATACGGAGAAGATGAGGAAATTTCTGTTGGGAATTGGTTTTTGGGTGCAGGGTTTGCGGTGTTTTCCATGGCTTGGGGTGAATTTCTTTCTAAAAGATGGGCTTAGAGTAGACCCTTCTACTTTGCAAATTCTTCAGAGTTCTGCTAACTTGCCTATGGTGGCCAAGCCTTTTCTTGGGATTATTTCAGATTCGTGTTTCATATTCGGGCAGCATCGAATTCCTTATATTGCCATTGGAGGTAACTACACTGTTACAGTTTTGATTGCTTTATCTCAGTGACTCTTGTATTCTTAATCTTAACCTGCATTGAGATTCATGATTTTCTCATTTTTGTAACCTTAATGGTCAAAGGTTTCATTATAGTTATTGATATCTACAGAGTATAGACCACTTCAATTTTAGGTCATAAAAGAGTTCAGTAAAAACACACTGGTACTTGCTATACTTGATCACTGAATACTGCCTAGCTTTTAGTCGTCGAGTAGTTTGCAGATCGCTGATTCCAAGCTTCACTGGCTCCAATAGTGTGTTGGTCTCTTCAATAGTGTGTTGCTGATTCAAACTTTGCTAGTTTTTTCGTAACACTAGTAAAGAAAAGGTGAGAAATACTATGAGAGATTGCGATAGGAAAAGGTTAACCAGTTAAAATGGCTTTCTCCTTCTATAGCATCAAGGACTGAGTAGGAGGAGGAGGAGAGAAGCATCAGTGATGGTTCTGCTTATGCATTTAGAGAGAATATAGTTGTTGCTTGTAAATACTGCAAGTAGTGATAATAGGGATAGAAATTAGAAAATGGAGGTTAGGAACTGGTTGGTTGCTGGGTTTGAGGTTGCTTCCTTGTTGACAGTAGAACTTTTTCCTATAGGATGTGCTAAAGTAGATTGCTCTGTATCGCTGATACATCCGATTCTTTTCATTTGCCTATGGCTGGCAAGCTAATTTATTGTATCCTGTCAAATGTATATAGTATTTTTTGCTGGCATCCCATTGCCTTAATTGCTTACGGAGGTGATAGGGTTGTTGATTTTCACTTCCCATTCTCATGTTTTTGCTGTGGTGGAATTTGGTATGAGATGTGTGATTCGAAGCTCTCAAACCTTTTGCACACGTAAGTCTGGAAATTATTCTGCCTGTGAAGTAACTATGAACTTTAGTATGCGTAAATTCTTGCTCCCCTGATTAAAGTGGTTCATGGAAAATGTCTAAATTCTGGAAGAGTCAATTTTCATATATAGAAGACACGATGATCAATAACAGCACCTGTATATTATGCAGTTATGAGAGTGTTGGCATTGTGATGTGAATACTACCCCTATAGTATTCTGTATACATGCAAGTAGTGAACATTTTCAACGCATAAATTATGCAAGTGATGCTTTCGCTTCGTTGATTGTGTGTGCTCAATTTATTTTTCGGTCCAACTATCGTATTAGATGATTGTGTATATTTGTATTTGTTATAGTTTCCATCAAAATTTTGAAGTTAGGCTTCAGTGTCTTGAACCGATTATAATTAGAGAAGAGAGACACTTCTTTATATTTCGACTACGTAGTGCAGCCTGGTTCTTATTGAAATGAGAGCAAAGTTAAGAAGCTCTTTACGAGAAAGACCTCATAATTGCTTTTTTTTTTTTGGCAGCTATACTACAAGCAGTTTCTTGGCTGGCTATAGCTATTATGTCCGGATCAGGTATCTCATTCTTCGCAGTAACCTTTTATCTTCTCCTCAGCAATTTTGGTGCTTCCATTGCGGAGGTTGCCAACGATGCCATTGTAGCTGAAACAAGTAAAGAGCCTGCATCCTCCAAGACCTCTAAAGCACCCTCATCTGGGAATCTTCAGTCATTTGTCTGGATTGCATCTTCTACTGGTGGAGTCCTTGGAAATCTTGTAGGTGGTGTTGCTATCGACAGATTTTCCTCTCGAGCAATATTCTTTACTTTCGGTGTTGTTGCTGTGATTCAGTTCCTTATAACAATGTGCATCCACGAGCGGTCTCTCAAGCTTCCCAAGAGTTCATCTGGTGCTGGTTTTCGCAAACAATTTTCGGAGCTCCTTGCTGCATTACGAAAACCTGAAATCTCATACTCAATAGCTTGGTTTGCAGCAACTTTTGCTGTAGTCCCATCTCTGATAGGCACTATGTTCTTCTATCAAACAGAACATCTAAAGATTGAATCATCCATTTTGGGGATCTCTAAGGTCATTGGTCAAGCTGCGATGCTGCTCTGGGGTGTCATCTACGAACGGTACTTAAAATCTGTACCCGCAAGAAAGGTTATCACATCCATCCAGATTAGCATGGCTATTCTGATGCTATCAGACATCTTATTTGTGAAGGGCTTCTATAGAGCATTGGGTTTCCCGGATTCTCTCTATGTGATGATTTTCTCTGGTGTACTTGAGGTGATGATGTTTACCAAGATTCTTCCTTTCACTGTGTTATTAGCTCAACTTTGTCCACCAGGATGTGAAGGATCTGTAATGGCATTCCTCATGTCCTCTGTTGCTCTTGCCATGGTAGTTAGTGGATTCTTTGGAGTTGCGCTTGCATCCTATTTTGGAGTTACTGGAAACAACTTCTCGGGTTTCCCAATGGCCCTTTTGTTACAAGCGGCATGCACGGTTTCGCCACTTTACTGGTCATACTATGTTCCTGATACTGTGAAGTCCAAGACAAATGGTAAAGAAAACTGAGCAACTGCTGCAGCAGCAGCTGCGTGTAGAACTGGGAAATCATCGGCAACATACATTGTTAATAGAAAGCCTATTATATTAGTCCACAATTTGTTTTCAGATCAATCAGATTAGTCATGATTTTTGTCTTTAGGCGATTGTAACTGATGGTTTTGTGTATATTTATTTTGGCAATCTTCAATAATGAGAGTATTTTGTTGATGTTCTCTTTCTTTTGAGTACTACATTTTTGTAATTGGGTTTCACAGTACAATCACATCAGTGTTTTCTCTGCAAAATACTGAAACCTTACAAATATAAAGAGAACCTTCATGCACCTTCTGTCCATTTTGTTGGAGTAAAAATGAGATAATTAAGATAATCTAATTACCATCAAGACAGGATGAGATTATGAAAAACAAAATAAATAATAGTTTACTTTGTTTGAATTATTTGTAATAGAGAGGACACATAAGTGAAATCACCACTATTATTTTTTATCATTATGATATTACAATATATTAATGTATTTTCTCATTCTCAAAGTTTTTTAACCAGAAAAAAGAGAATTTTGATTAGTTTATTATAAGTATTTTTCATTTCCCTCCGCAACAGTTGCTCCGACCGTGGAACTAATACACACGCACTCTATCACGCTGAACTGATAGCATATGATGGCTAAATGCTCGGCTTTCTCAGCAACTTCGCCATCAATGGCTGAACCGTTGAAGCCCTTCAAAAGCCTTACTGGGATTCAACAGCTAGCTGAATCTCGTCAATTTAAGGTAAGAAACCGAGAATTCCCCACCCCACAAATGAATGATAAATGGATAAAGATCACAGCTTTCTAATTTCGCCCCTTTTATATTCTGTCAACTATGCATTTAATTATCATTATACTTTATATAATTATTTGATGGAATTGAAGGTCGAACTTCATAGAGTGGGATTATCAAAAAATTTTACTCTCTAATGTATGAACTACCAATAATTCAAATAGAAGAATAATGTGAAAATGATTAGAAAATGATATGATAAGAAAGTGATTGTGGACAAGTAATTGACCATTTATAGCTTTAATATGTGCGCAGGGTTGGTTTCTGGACCAGTTTGGAGTTCTCCACGATGGGAAGAAGCCTTACCCTGGGGCAATTTCGACATGTATGTTTCCATGTTCTTGTAGCTTTTGGATTCTGGTGAATGGGTTCTGGTTATGTGGCCCGATATGTTTGCAATAGCGCGAATCATCACTAATTCTGTCGTTTACCGACTGCTTGGTTCATATAGTGGAAAATTTGGCAAAATGTGGTGCTAAGATGATAATTATTAGTAATTCATCAAGACGTGCATCTACAACTGTGGAGAAACTTAAGGGCCTTGGATTCGACCCCTCGCTTTTTGCTGGGGCCATTACAAGTGGAGAGTTAACTCATCAGAATCTTCAAAGGTTAATTACAGAAATGAGAATGATTATCTTTCATCATGAGAATTGTTTAAATTAAAGTTGCTGGATTTATAGTTTTTTTTTCTTTAACTGATACAAAAATTTTGGTTTCCTTATTGTTGGTTGTGTAGCTTGGTTGTGCCTAATGGTGCGGCACCATCCATTGGCCTTTTATCTACCTTTAATTGGCGTGCTGTTCATTTATGTTTATTTGCAATAAGATCCCGGCGTGCACTGCTTATATTCGATTCCCCTGAGGCATAATATTCAGCTATTACTTTTGTAGCCGTATCTAGACCTTTCTATGCTTTCAGTTGTATCATATTTGAATCACTGCTGGGTTTTGAGTTCAAGTTTCTTAGGTTTAGGAGATAGACAGAGGACTGTAGATAATAGCACTTGTTAATCTTGCTCCGGTGCATTAAATTCAACAGAACATGGGCATATGTTTTACCATGAATATGTACTTTCCCTTAGATTTAACGTAATTGAAGTTCATTGTGGGGCATTCTGGAAGCATGGTGGTAATATTGGAAGAAATTTCGCTCATGTTCAAATGTAGGTTATTAATTTAGGAACCATTTCTTTAATATAAGACATTACTTGCATTCTCTGTTTATTTAGAGCTATTTAATTTGTGATATCAAAGAAACTTTTGCCCAAATGGATGATGTACCTAGTAGTTATTTCATCTCAAACAAAACCGATTCAGATAAATACGATATGCGTGGTTATTTCCTTGAATGATTTTACCTAGTAGCAGTAATTGAGGATAGTTCGTTCATCTTTTGATGGTTTTCAGTTGTTATGCCAATTTTATGAGATGGTTTTCAAGGTGCTGAATCTGGTCTTGGTGAAGAAACATTCATGATTCGACATTTTAATTTCTGTACTTTCACTAGTCTTTCTCTGTAACCATTTTAAACTGAACAGGAGGGACGATCCATGGTATGCTGCTCTGGGGAGACGCTGCATTCACTTCACCTGGAAGGATCGGGGTGCTATATCGCTTGAGGTAATATACAATTCACGTACACGCATGAGCATCTATGGATGTAGTTTGAGCAGCACAAACAAGAGTGCTTTGCTGGCCCTTTTTGTAACTTTTTTGTGTGAATCTGTACATGTTTAGTCAAGGAAAAAAGCTGTAAAAGTGTTGGTGTAAATTAGTGCATGCTTAATCAAATAAATGCCTTGATCTCATTAATCACATTCAAAAACTTGTTACATAGGGCCCGAACAATGTGCCTTGAACAGAATCATGATTTGTATAGCTGGAGTAATCTGATCAGCTTCGGAATGAACTTGTGCGTGGCTGGCTTCTATTACTTTAATTTGACCTATTTCTTACTTCAGGGCCTGGGATTACAAGTTGTGGAAAATGTTGAAGATGCTGAGTTTATTCTAGCTCATGGAACTGAGGCACTGGGGCTAGCTTCGGGAGATGCTGTCCCCATGAAACTGGAGGATCTTGAAAAAGTACTTCAGAAGTGTGCAGCTAAAAGTATTCCCATGGTCGTAGCAAATCCTGATTTTGTGACTGTTGAGGCCCGGGATCTACGTGTTATGCCAGGTAAATAAGATCATATCCTCTTCTTCATATTCCAGCACAGAATGAAAGAGAGAAAAAAGAAAGATGTGTTACTAGCTTATGTTAGTTTGAATCTGATGATTTATTTGTTAGTTTCACCTCTTTTCAATTGGCACGCATTGCATGTTTATCTGTATTCTGCATGAAAAACCAGTTTTCAACTTCTTTCTACCTTTCAAGTTCACCTACATCGGTTGACTAAATGTCCGTCAACTCACTGGAGCAAAATAATCTCAATCTGTTATTGAATGGATCCATTACATGTAATTTATCAGAGTACAGCATGTGGCATTCCCATATTAGCTGATGCCTTAGTACAACTTTCAGCTGTAAAATTCTGTCCAATTTTTGGTATGCTTGCTTTATAGTGGTCTTTTACACTTCCAATGCACTTCTTTCCACACAAATTGTAAATTTTAAGTAAGGACTTTTGACGTGCTTCAGGAACTCTAGCTGCCACATATGAGAAACTTGGAGGTGAAGTAAAATGGATGGGCAAGCCTGATAAGGTGATTATTTATATATTATGCCATAATACAAGAGAGAATAATTCTTCTGCTGGCTATGCTTAGGTTTCAGTTTTTGTATCTCAGTCCTATCTGATTTAGAAGTGTGATTGTATGGCAAAATGTCAGATCATCTACAAAGCAGCTGCAGAAATGGCTGGCATAGACGCTTCTCAATGTATTGCAGTAGGTGATTCTCTGCACCACGATATAAAAGGTGCAAGTGCAGCTGGCATAGCTTCAGCGTTTATTACTTGTGGGATCCATGCAGCAGAACTTGGACTTGATAACTTTGGAGAAGTGGCAGAAGATTCTTCTGTGCATTCTCTAGCCTTGAAGTACGATGCTTATCCATCATTTGTGCTGCCTTCATTCAGTTGGTAAACTGTATATTGGTAATACTATATGCCCCGCTTGTTTCATCTACGATTGACGATTGAATCTGAATTCTCGAATCTAATCAAGTTGTCATGTAATTGTTTATCAAGCCCTTTAAGATTGTCTATTGTTAGAAACATGTGAACTTCAGAAGAGGAACAGATACAAATAGGCGCTTTTTCTTGTGCTGAGAATCCAATCGCCTGTCGGATTCACTGATGTAACATGGTTAGTACGCAACAAGTACTTTCATGTCAGTCCTTTATGCAGGATCTCACACCTTAGCAACTTTTTGTACTGTGTAATTAGCTTTAAGGATCAGAAGTTGTTTCTCCTGCTTTTAAGCTCATTTCGGCTCATGCAAAGTTCGGTTCGCTACTTTTATCAGTTCCAACGTAATGTACACCATCAGCAGCAATTAGGCAGTCTAGATGGGTTTGATGAAAGAAGCACAAACATTTTAGACATCTGGAACCATTTATATTTTCAAAAAGATACTACAACAATTTTGAAGATTGTGCTACCACAAATTCTGTACAATTCGTGCTTCCCTCATTTCATCTCCTCTCATTCTTTTCCCTTAACTTATCTCAAGCAATACAATTATGTTATTGAGACAGAAAAAAAGTAATGTGGATAAAATATTCTCTATTATTTAGAGACGAGACAAAAATGCTACTCTCTTTGTTTATAAAAATAATCAGCATTTAGTTTTGATATTTATACAGTGTAAATTTCAAAATTGAACGGTAAACTCTTTTTTGTTTTTTTTTTCTTTATAATACTCTCTCCGGTCCTTAATATAAATTATTTTGATTTATCCAAGATTTCACCTCGTACGTATTTTTAACAAATAAGAAAAGGTAGAACCTCACTATTTGGTAGCCAGTAAGGCATTAACCTACGTAAAAGTTTTTTTAGTTCTTCGTTTTGTGGCTTTTGGATAGTTTTTGCTTAGTTGGAAGAGAAATCGGCCCTTTTTTTCAATAAACTAAAGTAAGGGGAAAAAACTGAGGAAAATGAATAATAAATACTGTAATGTGATAGATTTGTCCAATGTTTAGAACCTTGAGATGTAATTAAACAATTTATAAAGATGGGAATGAATTCACAAATATAAACACTATCCCTTTTTTACTGTATAATACAAGACTTCATTTTAATTTAATGAATTTACTCTTTTGTTCCTTGTAAAATTGGCGGTAAAACTGTAACCATTCTGGCGCGAAACCCCCCCAAATAAGAAGCAGCAGTACAACATACTCCAATGAGAGGTTCCAACTTCCAATGAGCGAAAGAACAGTAGAAAATTCTCCAGAAGTGAACAGAATCGCGGTCACTCGCCATATGGATCCGGTAAATGAAGGAAATCCAAGTCGGAAACTTGCAAAGCGTCGCGATGATGATGACGTTTCTGGTGCGATGATTCCTCCGGCCGATGGGATTAGCAATTTGCCGGAAGCAATCATTTCCCATATTCTCTCTTTCCTTCCCGCTGACTCTGCTGTTGCAACGAGCATTGTCCAGAAGCTGGAGATCTCGCTGGACTAAAGTAAGCAACTTAATGATTCCGAGTGGCTTAAAAGCAGTAGATATAAATCAAAGATGCGTAAGACTGGTTATTATGTTCCAAATATGAGTTTTTGGAAGTTTGTGGAAATGGTTTTGCGCAATCACAATGCTGAATTCTCCATGGACAGGTTTTGTGTTAATATTAATAAACCGGAATCCTTTTTTAAGTATCCTGGAAAATGGGTCAATTTTGCAATTGCTCGTAATGTTCGAGTTCTTGATTTGGATAGGTCACAGGAAGGTAGGTATCAATATGCTGATTATGAGTTATCTATTACCAGTTGATCTCTATAGTTGTGGAACATTACAAGTTCTGAAATTACGAGGGCCTTTTCTGGTTATAGTTCACCATGGGGCTTCTCTTCCGAAACTTACACTTTTGGAATTAGATTTCGTTAGATATGCAGTGGTTGGAAATGATTTGGATGTGTCCCTTCGTAACCTTTTATCTGGTTCTCCAGCCCTTGAGTCTCTTAGGATTAAACCATTTTGATGGGATGGTAGTTTGTAGAGTTTCTTCCCGTGTTAAAACGTCTTCAGTATATTCATGCTTTGTGCTATGATGAATGTGATGACTGTAAAGATCATGCTTATCTTCGGTTGAAGTTGGAAATTGATGCACCTTCACTTGAGTACTTCTCCCTAGATGATGAAGGGGTGTCGAAAGAAATGACTTTCGTGCAAGCGCCAACCTCTTTGATTGAAGTGGCTCTTGATGGTACTCCACACTCAATACTGACAGTTGTTGGGTTTGTTCAAGTTTTTAATCATGTGAAGTTTATGACATTATCAACGAGAGCCACAGGAACGCTTCACTCGGCCACCAACAAATTTTCAGCATGTTTTGACAGGCTGACCAAACTGGTTATCATGCTTGATCATTGCGACTTCGTTTGGGTGATGGACTTGGTTCACTGTTGTCCCCAATTGAAGGTACTGAGCATTCAGAGGTGCTTATACTCATCTTACACTTTCACATGGAGCAAGCCTATAAGTGTTCCCAAATGTTTCTTGTCTAGTTTCACACAAGTTTCATATAGGGGATTTGAAGGCCTTGAAAATGAGATGTCCCTACTACAGTTTATTTTGAATCATGCTTTAGTTATGGAAATAGTTGATATACGCTGTGTTCCATGGGTAAAGGATAGGATGAAGGAAAATTTTCATTTACTTGACAGGATGTCAACGTTCTCTAAAGGGTCTCCCACTTGTAAAATCTCATCTGCTCTATTACGATGTTAAACAATGGATCTGGTATATCTTGCTGGATCTGAGGTTGAATTTACTTCTACATTTTATTCTATGTTAGATTTCTGGACTGGTCTGCTCGAAGTACATGGTATGCTTACTCTTGTTAAGGTTTGGCTTCGGTTTTGTAGCGTTTCGCTGTTAGCTTTTCATAGCTGTTGTTCAGTGTGTTTCTGTTCTTGATTTGGAATTAGTTTTGTCATTTGATCTGCTGAAGTGGTTCCTTTCGGGAACCCTATGTTAAGTGAAATTTTGTGTTGGGAGGGTACGGCATCTTATCTCCTTGGATTTCAGCTAGAACACCCCTGAATTGTACTAGAATGAACAGCTAAGAGCCTAAGAAGCATAAGATCACCTCAATACCGATTCTTCCTGCTTCTGATCTTCTTACCTTGTCCTCGTGTATCTAGACTTTGGTTGCTCATCTTGGCTGTTTTCCTGGTTTTTACGCAAAAATCAGTCGGAATCAGTACCCCCAGTTTCCCAGCAGATAACTGTATCCACTGTTTAAGAGTGTGATCGGCAGCATTGCAATTTTGTTTTGGTTTTATCAGCTGCCTTTGTGTCATCCAGATTACAAGCCGAACAAAATTATCAGTTCAACGACGAAGATGATTGTATTAGAAAAAGCGGTCAATGCCACTTGGATTAGTACTTTCTGTTACGCAGTTATATGAACTGCTACATTTGCCTAAAGCTCTAGATGATTTCCATAATCTATGAGACGTTTAGACGGTTATGTCAGTACACTATCAACATGCATTTTCCTGGATCTGATTGGGCGTTTTTGTTCCATCCTAAAGACTTGAACAATGGCGCAGCCAACAGGATAACATTTTACAATGGTTCCATATTACATGTCAAGTGGTAAATAAAGATCTGTTATAAGTTTCCAAAATGAAAGATACCTAATAAGAGAAGTTAGTAACAGAACCATACAGTATCAAAAGTTGAGTCAATTTGTGATCAGTACAAAAATGAACTGGAAATAAGAATTGAACAAAGACATAATAATAAATTAATGGTATAATTTGCCTTCTTACATCGTGCGCTTTTATTATTTAAACAACAAACAGTAGAAAGCCGAAAACATTGAGAAAATTATTGGATTTGGATCAAAAATAATTTTCGCCATAACAATCTAAAGTAATCCACTCTCGTAAAACTACTGCACAACGACCTTCCAGTCTCCAGTTTTCGTAAATAGGGCTTCCAAAATATTACAGTCCACTTTACACCTGCAAAAAGCTGGCATACTTGGCACCAAGGAAAAGCCTTTGGATGCAAAGAAGAGCATTCTTAGTAACCTCCCCATTATCATGGTTCATCAACTTCATCACCTTTTCTTTAGCTTTCAGGTCAGTCACTATTACTCTACCAGCAGGATGGATCTGAATGAATTGTGAGAGATCAAAGCAAGCGACAGCAAGAGTCCTTGGGTCGGTAGAGGTGTCCAAGATTGTAATGAGAACTCTAAGGATCTGCAGGCACATTGTAGTAACTTGGAATTTAATGTAGTCTCATCTTTTACAGTAGAAAAACTTTTAATGTCACAGTTTATATTTACTGTAGTTGAACATCAGAGAAAATGGTTTACCTGAAAATCATTTTCTTCAAAGTTTGTAATATTCTCCCTCCAGAAAGCAGGATCTTTGTGCATTGGGGACCAGTCAAGATGGCCTAGAAGAACTTCCTGTTTGTACTTATCAAAAGAACTCAATTTCTTGATGTTGTCCTTGAGACCTTCTTCCAGTTGGTTCAGACCATCCAATAAATCCTAACGCAAAATCACAAGTAACCGTCAATGAGAGAAGAGCACAATTCAGCAGAGAAGGGAAAAACAAAAAAAGTGGGAAACATAGAGAAGAAAACAAAGGCGAAAAAAGGTATCTATACTATCGATGTAATGATTTAGTTTAGACTGGAAGTGTGCCCCTTTAAGACTTTAGTCCCCAGCGAGCATCTAATCAGGTGATAATGATATTTACATAAGGGAGGATTGTCAAGCTCAAAAGACGCTTGGTGGGGATAAGCAAATTAGATAAACTTAACACACACAGCAGTCGCTATATCAGACCAACATATTTAAATTCCCAGAGAAAACTACTGGAAAACCTGTCTGGCAGGCAAAAAGGAAACAATGAATGACTGGACAGCTTTTATTACATCTCTCTTCTTTATAACCTCCAACCATGTCTATCCTCTATTTTTCTCTTCTTATAACCTCCAGGCTCCAACCATGTCAATCCTCTATTTTCTCCATGGTATGGATTTTTTTTGAAAGCCCATGGTATGAATATATATGACAATAAAGTGCCAGTCAAAGCTCACCTCATCACTCCAAGCTTGCGCTTTCAGACTTTGGACAATTTGAGGTAATCCAGAGTCTACCATCTGCGCCCCAAAATTCCCCTTGTAAAGCAAGTTCCTTAGAGTCAACACCACAACCCTGACAACCTACTAGACATAAGTGAACAAAATGTTATACATTTGAATGAGAAACAGGGAGTGCTATATAGAATTTCACAGCTAATAGATCATAAAGAAGGTCATTGATCAAACTACGGGAAAGAAAATTGATCAGTAACAGCAAGAGACATTGTGATGGCTAAATGTGGTGGTAACAGTTGCTAAAGCAGGCGTGACAGATCATTAGAATGTCAAAGCATCAACATGAGGACAAGAAGTAACCTTTTCCTTTGTAGAGCCTTTAACGACATCAATCAACCGCGGTAGAGCCCTCGAAGTAGCGAGAAACTCAACTGCTGGTTCATAGTACGACAAAAGCCAGATGCAGAGGCATGTTTCATAAAGAAGCTGTTTAACAGAAAAATAACAAATTGTATTCATGAGCTCCAAGGCAAAATGAAGAATATATATATATATAAAATTTTAAAAAATAAAAGAATAAAATCTAGTGGCTTTCAATTTTGACTAGAATTACATGCTACTCAACACATTTCCAATTGACCGCATTGAAATTAAAAGCTCAACACACAAAGAAAAGAGATAGATTTGCCTTCGTGCTTAGGTTTTTATCCAACAGACGTCAGATGCTACCCAATATAATTTTATTTCACAGGCTTAGTTAGACCAATCAAAAATACGAAAAACACTGGCATTCTAAGCAAATGGTCAACTACCTGGATGGACTGCTGAGTTGACGCTGGAGATATGAAAGGGACAAGCAACTTCACTCCATCTGCTTGAACAAAAGAAGATCGGACCAAGGGCTCCCTGAGTAGGGTTGCAAGGCAATTGATGGCCGTAGGGATGCCACGACTAGGGTGAGAAGGTTTCTTCAGCTGCAAAAAGTAGGAAACCTCAGAATATGTATTTGAGAAACTACAGTTGAGCTAAACATTAAACAGGAATGTTAACATAGTCACCAAAAGTTCGATTTCATAACAGAAAATATGGTAGGCAATTTGAGTCGATGGAAATAATGGCCAGAGGATCTACACAATCTATCAAAAGTTTAGCTTCCTAGTTGACAATGTATCTGACATGTTTCAACAAGTAAAAGACACACGTAATCCCACTTATTTAGTTCAAGACTGAAAAGAGCACTATAGTTCACACTTTCCAGCTGACTCCTCCCTCTCAAACTAGTGGCTGTGCTCCACCATCGAGCTTCTTCAGCGGGTGTTACTTCCTATCTACCATGTAAGTTTCCAACCTTCAATTTTTTCACTTATTTTACTGAATCTTAATGTTTATTAACAGCAATAAAGGATTCACAAACCATGCTTACTGGAAGTGTAAGGATTAGTTGTACATCATAACCCAGTTAACTACAGTCCAGGAGGAAATTATAACACGACCAACAGATCAGCCAACATTTAAAAATGTTGAACTTCCAAGTGGAATCAACCATCAGCATGAAAAGGTTCAGTATTAGCACCTATCACCAGTTGCCATTTGTGATAAAAATTTAGATTACAGTGCGGTCATAATTAGTCTGTATAACCAAAACTCTGCTGCACATGGAAGATTTTATGCTCCAGCGTTATAGTTTTGATGAGCCTGTTTTCTCTTATTTATTTTTTCTTCTCGAATTATAATTTTTCTTTCATCATTACATGAAAAAGAACTTTACACACATCAAAGTTCGCCACTCAAAAGAATAGATGAAATCGAGAAACAAGAACAAAATCTCATCTAAAGCTCCACCATAATGAAAATACAAACCTGGGCACAAAGCCATTCAACCAGGCCATTTAAAACATCGTCAACAGTACTGAGCTTCTTTTTTGAATCTGAAGATTCTCCATTTGCAGTGTAACCAATCTGAACCTTTGGTCTAGCACTGAAATAACAGAAGTTAGCGAGTTACACGTCAGAGCAAAATCTGCCTGGTTGGCATTAGATAGTGTGGGTCACAATTGCAGCACCTTACGATCAATGAGAGTATCTTACAGCTCTTCTCCTGTATAAACCAATTACCTTTCCAGAGCAATCTGCAAGTTGAAAACTACAGTATGTCAAATTTGGTCTGATAAACTTTCTTTTTAATAAAGCAACATATTAACGTCATGATGTTTGTTATGATTTTAAGGGCAGAAAATAGGAAATGGACAATTTGGTAATTCTAATTCAAAGCGAATAAGGAACAATAATGATAAGCTAACTGATCCTTCTTAGATACATGGATATACAAGGGATTCATAGGGTGACAAGCCAACCAAACTTAACTAAAATCCTTATTGTCAAAAACAATTCAAACCCACTTGTCTCAAAAACAAAGTTAAAGTTGGAAAATATGCCTTCAGGAGCAAATTGTATACTAACAGTGCCATCAGATCAAGTATAAAGATGTAAACAAAAGTCTAGGATAGAGAATTTGCCTGAGAAAGGGTTCGTAGGGGTCTTCACTAGCAAGAGACTTGTCATGAAACAACCTGGCTCTTTTTGGGTTTGCTGCAAAAGGGTGCACAATAACATTTCATCACTTGAAGCTGAAAATCTTCGCTGAAATGATTACTATTGAGGCAGATGTGAACAATACTCTCACGATTCAAATTTCGTAATTTGACTCCTTACCAGTAAGCATTTCATCAATCAAAGCTAGAACATATTCCACCGTTTCTTCTTTGAAAATATCACGGAGAATGCTGACGAACACACGAATGTATGATGGACCATCCTGCAAGTCAAGTGGCAGAAAGTGTTCATCAAACACACATCACCTGATCCCCTAACAAAGGATGGAACTCTCATACAGAGCACAGATGACCAGATAAATATGGACTCTTAAAAGGAATTAAAAGCTACAAGGAACTACAAGACCCACGAGACTCAAACATTGCATAGTCAACTAAGAAGCCTTCCATTACTTGATGCCCGGACACCTAGCGGTGTTTAATTCTCAGTGAACAAATTCATCGAATAATAGTGAATGGGCAGTAATATTTTAGTGAAGCAAATGTTCTATATAATGAACATATAAAGGCACAAAACTAGACGTACAGTCCGTATGAAATGGGAAGAGATATGATTCTTACATCATCTAGTAATTGGGCTTTGTAACTCTCCGGTTTTTTATCGTATCGCCTTAGCAGCTGAAGTCCAGTTCCAGTGATCAGCTTTGTAGTCATGTAGGTCTCCCAGGGAATGTCCCTCCTCAAAACCTGAAAGTATTCATCAGATTAAACTTCAACTAAAAAACAAGCAACTTGGACATGACAAGCAACCAAACTCTGCAATTCCAACCCCGAAAAACCCATCTCTCTACATTTGAATACATATTAAACTGGAATGGACTCGAGACTATAAAGTGAAAGTAAAAAAGCCTCGCATTCAACTAGACAGAATCCATGAACTCTTTTTTGATGCAGAAGAAGATGAACGCGAGCATAATTTCAAGAGGATTTTTGTAGAATGATGGAGGAACCAACCGAGATTCATGAACCCAATACCGGATGCATTAATTTTGTCCACATATGCTGAAAAACCACCACAATCACACACACACAGTATCGTTCACATTCTCTTCAGAACCCAATTAATTTCCCGAGAGAAGCAAAAAACGAACTCATCTCGACCAACAAAATCAAGGGAATCCAGAGCAGGATTCCGTAAACCAAGCAATAAAAAGGATATCAAACTTAAAGCAAGAAGAATTGAGAACTAAGAAGCGAGTGAATTCGTACATTCTCGGTCGTGAGCTCGGCCTGATGCATCCTGGATCAACAAGTTAATCTTGAATCAGGTTGAATTCGTTGATTATCCAGAGATCGATAATGGGCGATCAAACTCGATATTTTAAGAGTTGAGATTTGGATCGTGTCTCCCTCGCTCTTGCTCGGATTTTTTTTTTTTAATTTTTATTTATATTTGTTTTTGACAGCAACGATTATCGACGGTAGTTTGCTAATGCACGACCACAACAAAAACAAATTCATTTTTTTGGCTTTCCAGGAATTGATTGACTGGAGGAAATATAGACAAATAACACTTTCCTCCCTTATCTTTCTGTGGTTTGTACTTTCTTCCGCAGTAAATTTTTGTAGTACTCTCTCGAGAGGGGGCGAAAATAATAAAATCAGTAAGGCCCCCTTTTTAGAACTTAATTTGTGTATAAAATCTAAAATCTGAATACCGAAGCATAAGTACTGAAATGATTAAATTTATCTTGTTTGATAAAAATGAAATATGAAGACTGCAAAAAAAAATCTAAAATCTGAATTATGAATATTGAAATTTAAAGTATATTGACTTATAGTTTTATCTAAAAAAATAATTGATGTATATGAACTATGATAATAGAAATAATAGCATTATTATAAAATCATGTAATAAAAATATTTAAATTTTATTATGGAATTATTTTTAATAATAATATCATATGCTAAAATGATTATGCTAAAACAATTATATGTTATAAATTGAGAGTAATATTTAATGTAGTTTGTAAACTGTATTATTATTAACACAATTTACAAATTATTATAGTGTAATAATTTTTTTTTTACAGGTAATGAATACATTTTTGTTTTGAAATTACTCTTTTCTCGTCATACAAACTAAATTGTATTAATTTGTTTATTTATTGGAAACCAAAACGTTAAAACCCAAATAATGCACTCTCTATCCTAGTGCTATATTCTAATTTTTGTAACACAATGTAACATTGTAACTAAAATACCTCTATACAATATAAACATGGAAGAGAATTCATGAAATAGTTTCTAACTTTCTAAAACGTCTTCTTTAGTCGGTAATAATGAGGTGCATGCATTTATAAACACAAACTATTCAGACCTTTAATATTTCTTGTTTATTAAGGCTCCATTTGGACAAGAGTTTCAAAAAGACTTTTAAGGCTAAAAAATCTGTTTAGAGTTTAAAATACGTTTGGACAAAATAATTAAAGTCTTTTCTAAACATCATTTTCAAAAAAAGAAGGCTTAAAACAGACTTTTTAGAAAATAGGTAGGAGGTATTTTTCAAATTTTTGAAACAGACTCTTTCAACTCTGTTCGCGGGTCATAACCCGGGTCAATTACGGGTTATGAAAATTTCGGGTAATGAATATAAAGGAAAAAAAGTTCCCTTCTCACTTCTTCCATAGCCTAGATCCGCCGCCCCTTTCTCACTCTCTCTCCTTCTCGCCGTCATATTTCTTTCTCGCCTCTCTTTCAGCCGTGCGGCACCCACCCACCGTCTCTTCGGTTTTTTTTTTTCATGGGCTGATTGCTGCGGTTGTGATGGTGTGATTTTTTGGTTCCCCTCTGATTATCTTCGATAAATCTCAGTTTGTTCGCTGTGGATTCCCGGCGGTTGAGTTTCCTGCATTTCTCCTAATGCCTGAGCTTGCCAACCATGTTCTTTGTTTGTTTTTGAGGTTAGAGCTTTACTTTGAATTCTCTCCCTCTTTTAGCGGAATTGATTTTATGTTTGTGGGTTTTTTTTGTTTTTGTTTTTTGGTGTTTATGAAATGTATAAACATCCTCTGGGGATTTAATTTTGAAATGCTTTTTAAAATTGGGAGAAATGCTAGGGTTTTGTTTGCCGTAATTAGGTTTAATCGGAAGGGGTTTTTTTTTGGGTGCGTTTCGATGATTTTTCCCTCCTCTCTGTTTGATTAGGTTTTACTTGTGTTATCTTGTTCTATAAAATCTCTTATTGCGTTGTTGAAGATGAGTTCAAATTTTCGCGAATTGAGATTATTTTCTGCTTGAATATTTGATTGATTATTACCACAAAAGTACCATGATGTTTAGGGCTTTTTCATGGTTTGCGAAATCAAGTATAAAAAGTTTTGGGTGTTTGTGCTTTGTTCTTGTGTCCCTCTTTGAAGTAATCATGTCCCATTAGTGATAGCACGATGATAATTGATAACTATGGTACTCGTGTTTGTGTTGTTAAAAGTGTTTAACCTATTGGGTCTTCCGTCTTTGTAGTACTAAGAAATCAGGGATCAGTGATCATGCAAGACATTTATTTGTTGAATCTGGGTTATATAGAATGAAATTTTTTTCCAAAAAGAAACTTACAAGAATGGTGTGAAATAATCTTATTTGTTTCGGGTTCAAGTTAGAAGTTAGTGAGATGGATTAATTTTCTTATTAGTGGGGCAGTTTTGGAGAGAGTTGCAGTAGTTATTTGTTAGATGATTTAATTTCAACGAGGGGATGAATGAGGCGTTAACCTTGCTACATTAGACATTCTGGATTGGAGGGTACATATTGTTAGCACAAATAGTCATCCATTCGTAAAACAATGCTTTAGTGCACTCACAGTCTATGCCTAGTTACAATCAGTCACTGGGAGACAGAGTTATTTTGTTTCTGTGTTACACGAGTAATGTGGTAAAAAATTTGGTATGAATCTTAAGTTATCTTCTGGTGACTGAATATTGTGAACATTTTTGGGATCCCAATGTTTTCTCTGGAATTTCCTACATAAAATTGTTCAAAGGCTAGAGATGCATTTCGTCCTCTTTTGTTGGTTGATATCAATCAGAGATAACTCGGGGTATTCAATTGTATCTTTTATGCCTCTGGTTTTGTTTATTTCCTCTATAGAAAATGGCTGATCCCTTCTGAATATAGGAGAATGGAAATTTTTTAAAACTTGAATAACTAAGAAGTCCCTAGTACTCATAGTTGTCCCCTTATGTCCCTGAATAATTGTAAGGATATCATAAAATAAATAACTGTCTTTTGCAAAAACTGTCAATGCAATACCAACTAGGCCTTATGATGTTATAACGGCATTGTGTTCCATCAAAGCACATGTTCTTTTTTATGTTCTCGTATGTATGTCTTCGTTTATAGTTATTTTTGAACTATTTCTAGGTACTTCCCTTCCCCTTATCCTTTTAACTTGATTTAATCTCTCTTTTCAGCATGTTGTTCTGAGGCATCTAGAGGTTTTCTATGCAGATATCACGTTAACTTAAGCGTGTTACTCTCAGTTTCTCATCTTCTCAAGCATTCATCGTTTACTTTCTTTAGTCTTCTGTGTGCGCACATGCTTATGTACAAAACACTTCATCTGACATTTATATCTCTTTGGTCAGCCTGCAGGAAAGAGTTATGCACACCCAAGAATTTGCTTTTTCCACGTCTTCTTCAAGGTTCAAAACATATAATTACTGATGATTCATCATTTTCTTTTTGTTCTTTATGGGACAATGATACGAGTTTCAGTGCTTTAATTTCATGTGGCAGGCTGCAGCTTTGGCATTTTACATCCTTTCAGCTTTATTTGTTGATAGTTTTGTCATCATTTTCGTGGTCACTGTACTTCTTGCTGCTTTGGATTTTTGGGTGGTCAAGAATGTGAGTGGAAGAATTCTAGTGAGTTTAAGGTGGTGGAACGAAATCAATGATGAGGGCGAAAGTGTATGAAAATTTGAGTGCCTTAGACCAGGAGGTAGGTTTTGATAATTCGACATTTCGGATTTGTACATATCTAGGTGCAGATGCATCAGATCTTTTACCAATTTATATCTTACTAAGTTGCTTGGATGCAAACTAATTTGCTTGGTTGTTTGCATCTTGTAGTTAATGGCTCGGATCAACCAGAAGGATTCATGGCTCTTCTGGTGGACATTGTATCTTACTGTAAGAAAAATTCTTCTGCACCTACTCTCTTCAACATCTTCTTTGGACTAATAAATCTGTTTTCGCGCTAGATTTCTTTTTGCTTCTTGCCTTTTCTCCCCTTTTGTTTTCTTCTTTTTTTTTTGGGGGGTTGGTTCGGGGGGTGGGTTAAGATTGTGGAGTGAAGTGCTTTATGAATGACAATTGTGACTGTAAACAATTTATTATTTAATTATTATAAGAAAGACCAAATGCATTAGAATGTCATCTGTTGCAAATGACATTTTCTGCAATAGAACAGAATATGGGGCAGCCTTATATTGATCGATTAATCGGGATTATCAATAATCGTATATTATTTATTTATTGCAAGTCGTTGCTTGGATCTTCTTTGGCATATTCTCCTCATAAGATTTCAAGCGATTATCTTCTTGTTGTTGGAGTATGTTTGACACTCGGTATTGCAAATATTGTTGGCTTCACTAGATGCCGTAACAGTATGTAGACGAAATTACTATTTTACATTCTTCTCATGAATTTGCTTTGTGAGCTTTTATGGGCAAGCATTTTGGTAGTTTGTCACCTTTTCTCCCACATCATCATAGTAAGATATGGTGGTGCTGTACACTTCAGTTAACTGGAAGATTTTTCCTTAACAATCAGTGACGTCGTCATTAGACAAGAGTAATGGAGATTCTAAACTTTTGGTGTGTCTGGTGCATAGTCTTGTAGTATGTACAAACACTACAAAAGTCATGGATAAGGAGCTTTTCATTGGGCCCACTTTCAGCAGTAATAAGAAACAGCTGTCAGCTGAAGCTTAGATCATGTACTTTACATTTGTTGTTTTTGTACTTTGCATTTGTTGCTTTACTCCCAATTCGCATCATGTTATCATTGATTCAGGTGTGCTGCTACGCTTAGATCATGTATCTTTGTCTGTGGTTAAAATATGACTAGTATCGGACATCTTAACTTTCCTTTTAGTATCAGAAATGCATACTTTGGCTGAAGAATGTTGTTACTTTGTTGGTCATTTTCTACTCTGTCTCTACAATGCAATGCTCCAACAGCCTTCAGATTTCTCTTCTTCAATTGTCATTGTAAACAAGATATGTTGGATTTTACGTGGTTAACATTGAGGAAGAATGTGTCAGTGAAACTTTCAAGCCTACACTGTCTGCCTGTATAGGACCGTGTTTTCATATTGAATATTTTCTTCTCTTTTTACCAGGACTGTGTAGGAGCCATAGATGGTTCACATGTGCCTGCGTGGGTACTGGCAGAAAAACAAGCTGCATTCAGAAATAGAAAAGGTGATATAACTAAGAACGTCTTGATGGCATGCGATCACGATATGCGCTTTGTCTTAGTCTATGCCGGTTGGGAAGGCAGTGCACACGATGCTAGAGTTCTACAGGCTGCGCTTTCAAATGAAGACATCACTTTTTCGATGCCTCCTTTAGGTAAGTATTATGTGGTTGATTCTGCCTATAAGAATATGCCCGGGTTTATGGCACCATTTCGAGGCATTCGCTATCATCTGCAGGACTTTTCAGGCCGTGGTCATGCTCCAAAAAATTCAAAGGAATATTTTAATCATGTTCATTCTTCTTTGAGGAATGTGATTGAAAGAACTTTCGGCATACTGAAGCGCAAGTTTGCTTTTCTCAAAGGGCCAATGAATAACTATGATTTTAAGAAGCAAGTGAACTTTGTGATTGCTATTTGTGTGGTGCATAATTTTATCAAAGAACTTCAGCTAGAAGATGATATCATCAATGAATTTGCAAACGAAGATTTAATCATGGACGAGGAAGCTAGAAGTGGAGGCAATTTTCAAAGTGAAGTAGAAGAAGTTGATATGTCTACTCCCACCATAGCCCAATGGAATAACCGGCGAATGACCATAGCAACACAAATGTGGAATGTGTGTTAGAGTTTTAAATATTGTGGAATTCGTATGTGTTGAATGTGTAGAATTTAAAATGTTGTAAATTTATTCCAAGTCTTATGAACTATGTGTTATTTTTTTTTGAGAGTTGGATGTTTAAAAATCTCTCGATAACAATGTTTCAAATTTATTATGCATTCGATAAGTTAGAATGGTCATATAATGGTTTTAAAATGAAACAAAAATGCAATAATAATATGAAAATATGTGTAAGTATTTCCTTTTATTACAAAAAAAAAGGTACAATAATTATTTTTTGACAAAAAGTATTTTTGGAAAAGGTCTAATCCAAATGATTTTTTAATATTTTTAACAACAAAAATTTTTTTGTTAAATTTTTGTCCAAATGGATTTTTTTTTCAAAAAGTCTTTTTGAAATTTTGCTCCAAAAAGACTTATTTGAAAAATTTTTCAAAACTCTTGTCCAAATGGAGCCTAAAGTACTTCTATAAAACACCAGAGTATAAAATAGGTCATAATAAAGTTCTTCAAGGACTACACCGACAAATACATTTTCTTTTTTAATTTTTGAAAGAACAAAATGCATCACGAAAATATTTATTTACGCACGTATTTATTACTAGTAGTATTTACCGCCAGCGGAAATGAAAAGGAACCGGAAAAATAAAAAAGGAAAACCAAAAAAAAGAAAAAGAAAAAAGGAACATTATTATTTGAAAACCTCCGGCGGGGTGCCGTCACTAACAACCATCTTTTCAGTCTTTCTTCATTGAGAGTAGTGAAGCGCAAACTGTTTGCCCTGAACTAATCCATTTTTTCATGTACGTTTATACAGTCACTCTCATTTTATCTGAATTTGGGTTTTGATTCTTTCTATTCATAGATTCAGTTTTCAAAAATGGTGAGGGCCAATTAGCGCTGCTCGGACTGAATGGATTACTTTTTTTTTTTTTCTGGAACAGGGTTTTTTGTTTTGTTTCTTCAAATGGAATCAATTAAAATTGGTGGTGTTGCTGTTGCTGATTCACGTCCTTCAACTCCTCGGTGGAATCTCGATCGACCTTTCCTCACTGGCCGCTTTCACCAGGTCCTTCTTGCTCTCCTACTCCTTCTTTCTAACTTTACCAAATTATTTTATGTTTTTTTTCCCCCTTTCTGAATATACGTGGGCAATGTTTGAACAGGAAACGAAGTTGGCATCTGGAAGTGGCGAATTGAAGGATTCTTTTGAGTATGTTAGCACATTTTCTTTCTGGGTCTTAGGTATGGAAGTAAAGTTCTTCATGTTTTTGATAATTTTTTTTTTTTTTTTTGTGTTGTTTTGTGTTTTCTTATAGTGTGGAGAAGGCCATAGGTTGCTACCATGCGGCAATTCAGGTACATAACTTTATGTAATTAATCTACTTTCTTTGAATATGTTTGTGAATGGGTTCTTTTGACCTGACTCTTCTTATCTTTGTTGTTAAACTCTTTTGCGCTTACACTATAAAGGTCGGCAGCTTAAATATTTTAAGACAACCCTAGTTATGATCGTGTCCATCAGCATTTCGTGGACATTTGCTTGCTTCTGATTATTTCTTAGAATGTGCGAAGGAAACGAAAGCATGACATGGGTGATCCAAGTGATTGCATTGAAGTGGATTGCTTTTAACCTAAATTCTTGTAGTCCAATATGTGGAGTAGTTTATAATCACAAAAGCTATTAATAACATCAAGTGTCTTGTTACCCTTACATGCTTGGATGTGCTGTTTATTTGTCATTGTGTTCTATCTAGAACCTGCTCGTACAAGTCTTATTATGCTTCAACTGATGCTAAAAAAGGCTAATGTGTACGCAAACTGCTTTGTTCAGTTATCTATCTTGGAAACTGTCATTGGTTTGACTTCTCCGTTCTTTTACGTGCAGGAACTTATTGTTATTGATGATATCTTGTCTGCTTTGGTTGGCATTGAAGGGAGATACATTTCAATCAAAAGAATTCAAGGCAAAGAAGATACTGTAACCTTCCAGGTTGATCCATCAATGGATTTGACGCTTCAGGTAAGACTGCATTAGATGTTGCTTTGTATTGCTTCAGGAGCTGGATGGATTTAATTGCTCTGTATTGTATCTAATTGTTACTGGTGAAGTACCATAGACTTATTCAAAAATGTGGTGTATAATTTTTGAATATATACTCTAAAGTTGTTGTGCTTAAATCAATACTCTGTATGCTGAGGTTTCATGATTACACTTGGGACATTCCATGTAAAAATGATGTTGACTATTGCAGGAATCTGCGAAACAGATCTTCCCTTTATGCGAGAGCTATCTCCTAATTAATCAGTTTGTTGAGTCGAGGTCGCAGTTCAAGAGTGGCTTAGTTAATCATGCTTTTGCCGCAGCTTTGAGGGCACTCCTACTTGTAGGTTTCTTATCCTGTAAGTCTTTGTATAATTAAAATTTAGAACTCGTGTAATGTATTTTGAATTTTGACAGTTTTGCTTTGTAAGTTTTTGGGATGAATTATGTACTCCTAGTGAATTCATCCAGTTCAATGGCATAGCAATGATGTGATATTCAAAGTAATAATTACCCATCGCACTCCTTAAAAGGTGTAACTTGATTAGAGATAATTCTGGCTTTTGATTGTGTGCTGCATTCATTGAGCCATTCCACTGGATGAATTCTTCCCGAGTATAATCTCCTTTCTTCAGGATCCTAAATTATCGCATCTTAAAAATGTTTTTGGTTTCTCCATTAAAGACTTTGTCAACAATGTATCCACCTAATGATTTTCTCGATCTTTTTATGTACACTATTTCTCGTTTGATGTAACCAAAATGCATCTAAGCTAGTTTGAATATCATTTACTCTTTGCATAATAGATAACTAGTATGCTACCATAAAGTGGTAATATAGTGATCCTAAATATGGATGAGGATACCACTTTCTGCTAATTGCTGCTATTCCACTGGAGTTTGATTTACATATCTAATGTAGCTTTACTGAAACGCGCTTCAAATCTTCTTAGGATTATCAAGCTATGGTGGCCCAGCTTGAACATCAGTTTAGATTAGCGAGACTTTCCATACAGGGACTGTGGTTTTATTGCCAGGTTGGACAATTATTTCTACTATCTACTTATTTTAGTTTTTGTGAGGATATGTTCTCATGTTTGATGGAAATTATTCTTCAGCCCATGATCGGATCAATGCAAGCTCTATCCATTGTCATTAAGAAGGTTTCAGCCAATAATTTTGTTGGTTCAACAGTTCTGAACCTCTTACAAAGTCAGGTGGGGGACATGATTTTGTTAAATTTCCAAGGATTATTGCCTGCTGTTTTCTTCATATTTCATAATAAATGTGTTGAATTTCTCTCTGTTACTTATCTTGTCCAGGCCAAGGCTATGGCTGGTGATCATGTAGTTAGGTCTTTGCTGGAAAAGATGACCCAATGTGCGAATACGGCATACCTTCAAATATTAGAAAGGTACTCTGTTTAAAGTTAATTATAACTCATAAATCGTACCTGGGAGATTCAGTCTACTTGCAAGTTAACCAGTACTGCACATTAATTCTGGTATTGAAGTTGTATAATATGTAATCTACCATCTTGGAATAGTTACAATAAGCTCTTACCATTGCATATTTTTGTTAGATCATTTTTTTTTCATTTTAACGAGAGATATCTCCTAAATAGGACTGACTCAGCAATTAAAATTTCAGATGGGTGTATGAAGGGATCATAGATGATCCTTATGGTGAATTTTTCATTTCTGAGAATAAGTCCCTTCAAAAGGTATGATTTTTTTTTCCCCCAGGTACAGGTAAAGGTACAATTTCATGATGGTCTGATGAGAATTCTTTCTCTAGCTTGCTGACATATTGATAACCCCTTACAGGAGAGTCTAACGGAAGATTACGATGCTAAGTATTGGCAACAACGCTACAGCCTTAAGGATGACATTCCTAGTTTCCTCGCTAGTGCTGCCGAAACAATCTTGACCACTGGAAAATATTTGAATGTCATGAGAGAATGTGGGCATAGTATTCAGGTTTGTAAAAACATGCTGTTCTAAGCTTTCTGGATTAACATAATCGTAGGAATCTTCAGTTGTGAAAAATGCCTCTACCTTTCATATCTTCCTTTTCTAGTGCTATTTTTGTAAGTGTACTTGATTTTTATTTTCTTCTAATAATCATATTGTGCATGATGTCTTCATCATTTGATATAGGTCCCCATAGCTGAGAATTCCAAATTGACAAGTGTTGGATCAAATCATCATTATCTTGAACGTATTAAGGCTGCTTATGATTATGCTAGTGGCGAGCTACTGAATCTTATCAAAGAAAAGGTTAGATTTTGGACTAGTTCACCATTTCTTCAAGGAAATTTCGGTCTGAGTTGGACCTTAAGTTGTCAATGACTGCAACTTTTATCATTTGTAAACTGCAGTACGACCTCATGGCGAAACTGCGGTCAATCAAGCACTATCTTCTTCTTGATCAGGTAATGCCTATAGGAGCCTCCTCACATTTTTGTGGGGGGGTTGGGTGACAAAATCTTAAAGAATTTGTATTAGTTACAACTGTATGGCTAAGAAGTATAAGTTAATATGAAATTATGGCATATAAGCTACGGCGAAAGACTCACTTCTTGGCTGTGGTCATGTTTTTGTCGTGCTCATTCTTCATTTCTTTATGATGGCGGTGATTCTAGGTTCATGCAACTTTGTTGTTCTAATGGTTTTTGTTTATTGTGACTTGTTTAATCTGAAATGGTTTGTTTTCCTCTCTTTTCTGTCGTAGGGTGATTTCTTGGTTCATTTTATGGATATAGCTCGAGAAGAGTTAGCTAAGAAACCAGATGACATTTCTGCGGTGAAACTACAGGTTGATGTTCCTTTTCTTCTTGCTGATGTGAAGAGATTAGCAACTTGTCACTGAAATTTGGTTTAAAATGCACCTCTTCTTTTTGGAACTTAGTCTCTCTTGGACCTTGCACTGAGGACTACGGCAGCTGCTGCAGATCCATGTCATGAAGACTTAGCGTCTTGCGTGGTCAGTAATGATTCTGTGGCTTATGTGGGACATGTGGACCTTTTACCATTCCTTTGAATATGTTTTAATAGTATTCTGGCAGAAACGTGCGTAGTATAAGAAAAGTTTCTCCCTTTATCCGTGTAGGAAAAAACTACCTTGTTGCAAAGGTTGAACACGCTCAAGGATCTCGATATCCACCAGGCTGTCTCTGACAGTAATCATTTGGAAGAACTAGTGAACGTCACTGGACTGGAGACATTTTCTTTGAGTTATAAGGTACCAACTTAGCATGCTACCTTCTCTCACTTTCATAGTTATAACTCTTTAGTTTATTACTCAGACCAAGCGAAGCCTGTAAGGCAATTTCTTCATGGCAGTAGGAAAGTAAAAAAGTTCCTGTAGATCCTTTTGCTTCTTAGATTGTTCCTCAGTGTATATCCGTGAGTTCTCTTTAGGTAAATCATCTCAGAAATTCTGCAGGCTGTTGTTATGAAGAATGGTATTTTTATTCGTTCTTCTGTTTTTGACTTGTTATTTCTTTTGTGCTTGATCATTTTCAGGTTCAGTGGCCTTTATCCCTTGTTATCTCAAGAAAAGCTTTGACCAAATATCAGCTTATTTTCCGTTTCCTATTTCATTGTAAGCATGTCAACAGGCAGCTTTGCGCAGCGTGGCAAGTGCATCAGGTAAGGATTTCTTGTTGCTTTTTCCTCCTCCCCAACCTTTTTTCTACTCTGTACTCTCTTCTAGTTTATACAATTTACAAAAGTGATTCTAATTTTGTAGGGTGTCCGCAGAGTTGACATGCAGGGAATTGCAATCTCCGTATCTTCTTTGCTGTGTCGAAATATGCTCAAATTTATCAACAGCCTCGTACACTACTTGACGTTTGAGGTAGTTTCATTCAAGGAATCTTCTTTTTTTTCTTTTTTTCTTTTTTTCTTTTTTTTCATGAATGTGATTAACTTGTATTTCTGCTTTGATCCAAGGATAGTTTCACATAAGTAGAGTGCAGCTTTTGAAGAATTAAAAGCTGCACTATCTTGAATGCAAAACATTGGAGGTTGCTTCAGAACTAATGAGCAATGTTTCCGTGATTTTCAGGTTCTGGAGCCAAATTGGCATGTGATGCACAACAGCCTTCAAAAAGCAAAAAGCATTGATGAGGTAAGAAAAATGCAGTCTTGATTGCAGTTATTGTTAGTGATCTAAGGCTAAAAGATTTTGACTAATTTCTTTTTGATAAAGATTTTGAAACTATTTGAAAAAATCTCACTCTACTTGCCAACCATTATTTTTTTTCCCCTAATCTGAGTCATTTTGTGCAGGTTATCCAATATCATGAATTCTTTCTCGAGAAATGTTTGAGAGAATGCTTACTTCTTTCACCTGTTCTAATGAAGGTTTGTGACGAAGTTTTTGATTTTGATTGGTTTCCCTTATTTTTCATTGTCGGTCGCAAGATTTTGCCAGTTTTTTGTGGGGATGCAGCTTCCTGGAAGAAGTTTCTGGGGAGTTTGGGATCAAACACTCGGATTTTGTTGTGATATCTTTTTCCGTAAAAATATTCTTACAGTAAAGCCTCTAACTGTTATGTAGAAGGTGGAGAAGCTCAAACTGTTATGCCTTCAATATGCAGTCGCAATACAACGATTAATTACTACCATGGACATCCCAAGTACTGGATTAAGCCCTGACACTTGTCTGGATATAGATAAGTACAAGCAGTTGAAACTGAAGAGCCATTCCCAGAAGCTGAAATTGGCTCCCGAAAATGCTACAATCATCGAATCTGTTCTGTATGTTATGAGTTTGATCTTGTTTCTCGGGCTTCTCTGTTCCCAGTCAATTCTCTAATTTATTTTAACTTACTTTTAGGAAATTTGAGCGTGAATTCTCGGCTGAGCTACAGAGTCTAGGACCTATATTAAGCAACAGTTCTCGAGCAGAGCCGTATTTGACCCATCTCGCCCAATGGATTCTTGGGGTTGGCAAGGAACAATGAGATGCTGGTGTCTCTCCTTGAACATTTTATGAAGATGAACAGATACATCTGGGGTCTTCTACTGGTTGGCGGTAGTATTTTTCTTGGTCACCCTAGCAGTTGGTACCACGCTTAATCTTTGTAATTATTCTGTTTGATTCGACAAGCTTCGATTGGATTGCGATGGCTAAGGGAGAAGCATCTTGCTACCATGTGTTACTTGTATTTCATTGGAAAGAAAAATTAATGGTTAGAGGTGAGGGAACTACTATTTATGGGGTTTTTTGGTTCCATTAAGGATTTGGAGATATGTTTCATTAGGTTTTCGTTCTTTTGTTCTGTAAATTTATTTTCCCTTGGTGTAACACTCATCTGAAATTGATTTAACGCGCAAATCACTTGCAAAGTCACTATTTTTTATTTTTCTTTTTCATTGAACATGTTTTTGTTCATTTTCTTTTCTCAAGCTTACCACTCAACTACGATAGCCTATCTCCCAATTTTATCGGATGTCCTCTAAAAATAATATGCTGATAACATGCCGCATCACGAGTCTGCTGCATTACACTGCTAATGCAAAGAGGATGCTTTCAAATTTTGGGTTTTCAGAAAACATTATAATGTTTAACCTCAAAATTCAAGCGATCGAGGAGAGCAATCCTGCTTGTAACAAAATTCTAGAATCAACTTTCAATTAGATGACAGTGACGACAGGATGATCAGTAACTATACATTAGAAACTCTAACTTGAATTAGCGGACACATTCTGTGTCATGCTGTTCAACTCAAAAAGGAGGCTGCAACCACAAAGTTTTGCACCAAAGTGACAGCAAAAACTGCTCCTCTTACAATCCACTGCAGAAATTCTCAAAACATGGAAACGACCTCCTTGTAATGCGTAACAGACAGTCCCTTTTTCAAAAATCGTCACCTGTAAACACCGAATGAAATCATTAAATTCAAGAGTGACTGCCTAGGTTTCATGCCTCAAAGAAAGAAAAAAAATGAAACAGCAACAAAGAGTTATGCGCTATTCCACCATGAGGAGTCTGCTGTACGTGTCATATCTCATGACAAGATTTCTCAATGATCCTTAAATTTAAGAAAACAGCGATTATCACTTAGTAAACTTCATGTTGACACTATCACATGCCTCATCCTGAAAGAACTTATCTCAATGCATTAATTAGCTTAAAAGATATATATTACAGAGTAGCAAACATACGTAGATGTGATTGCCTGCCCTGTTTGAGAGGACTTTAGAATCTCTGTCTCTTTTAAAACTAATCTCTCGTAAAGCAGTTGCTCATGATGCAGAAAGTCCACAAACAGATCCCGTAATTGCTTTGCTGTGTTGTACGCTTCAGTTCCTGAATACACAACTTTCAACTCTTGCTTCAGGCTTGGCCATTGAAATTGATCCTGCACAACAAAAGAATACATAGCAGATCACTCACTGGCCTAGAGAGCCAGAGATATAATCACTTCTCCACGAAGACCTTCTCATTTGAGCGATCTATACTCCATAGAGATAAGAAACCAAATTAGGGGCCGATTATAGAGCAAACAACCCATCCATCTTTGGCCAACTGCTATCCATTAGAAAGACAAATATGGTAGTGTATACAAAGTTTCTTTGGTCTGACAAAATGCAAATAGTATTTCTCCCAATGACACAGTCAACACTTCCATTATTCTCTACATGAAATCCTGCAAAGATCCTTTTACAACTTTCTCATCTCTTTTGTGGGGAAACAAATCCCAGAATGTATTTAATAGCCCGGAAAGAGGATAAAATTGACAAGGAAAGAAATTTAAATAAGGCAATGGACACAAAGATGTACAGTATGTGATTTGTTAAACTTGATCTACACGGCACCAGATCATGAGAACCAAAGTTCAATACATAGTAGAGATAAATACAAATGGCTATAACCAATATTTTACGGCAGCAATTACCCAAGTGTGCAACATAACACATACCACATCATGATTAGTATCAAAGCTTATCTTGAAAGTCCACGGAACTAATCACTCGCAAACATCTAAGACAATGGGTAGATAACAAAAGAATTTAGGCTCAAACGAACAAGTCTCGGTGGTGCCAATGGATTGCAATAGGCACAGAAGAAAAATTAAGAAATGAAAAATTAGAAATCTCTGTCTATATCTTTCGAAGTCTAGCATGGAACACTAAATTTTCAACACGCCAGCAAACAGACAATTAACAGTAAGCAAAAACCCATCAAACTCTAGGTGATACCTGTGATCGGGAGAGTAAGCCTCCAAGGATTTCCCCACATGATGAATCCAACACCTCATCATGTACAACCCAAGGCCTACGGAAAAGCAGGGAAAAGGATAGATATTCAGCAAGTCCACAGCAGTAACTAAAATCAGCTAAAACTATGTAAATGCACAACAAAGGGAGCCATAATGAATTCCAACATTAAATGAAATGTATTTAATGTGGGAAAGTATATGTTAGAGTTTACTTCAAACTTGAAATAGTAAATAGGCAACAGTGAGACATACCTTCCACTTGCAGACACAATTAAGTGTTCAGAATGGACCAAAAAGTCATGGATTTTTCTTATATTCTCTTTAGAATCTGAAGCTATGGCTCCAGCACGACTGGCCAGATATGGTTTACGGGGGAATAGGTACGCTCGTGGTGAAGCAAGAGTATTTCCAAGAATGAATTGGCTAATTGCTGATGTGGACAAATCTTTCTCCAGGTTGTCAATTAACAGAAAATAGCAACCACCAGAATTTACAGAGTCAGACCCTCCCATATCTTCATCAGGATCAATATGGACACCAAGATCAAGTTCTGCCACCAGGTCGAGAGAAGTAAGAAAGTGCAGTTGAAGTAAAGTATTGCATGTGAGTTGGACAAACCTTCACCTTTTCTTTCCTTCTGGTTGAAACTCTCTACTTCACTATCCTGAAAAACACAGATATAAAATTTTTAAACATCCAAGCTAACAAACAGCCATAAGTTGAGACACCAACCATGTCAACTACTTGCCTGCAATTTTCTTTTAGATGCAGATTTCTGATCCGAAGAGTGGTTAATGTGTTCTTTACAGCTTGATGGTCCTCCATATTTACATTCTGAACAAGCATTTCGTATCCTTTCCTTTGTCAAGTTTGAGAATGTAGTGATTCTGGGGTCATTTAGAGCAGCAGTTTGAATAGCACAAATGCCAGCAATTTTCCCCAAAGCCATACTGCCTGACATTGGGCCATGAAGCCAGCATAGCATAAAAGAGCACAAACATTCCTCTTCTCCATCAGCAAATGAATGTTTTTTATGTTCCACCTTTCAGTTGAAAACGAAATAACATCAGGAAGAATGATGCTTGAAAGCAACATAATAAACTCCTCATTGTACATAGCTCTATCTTTTTTACCTTTTTAGTCAAAAGGAAATTTCCTGGCAATATCCATTTCAAGAATGCATCCTCTCAAAATCAACAAGGCAACAAAGACGGTAGAAGACACGATAGACAAAAATGGAAAAACAAATTACGGGTTTAATTATAATTCCCAATAAGTAACTTCTTAAGTTTAGCACAAAATGGGGGGAAGTCCAAATGTGTCATTCACGAGTTCAATCTTGCTATACTCAAAACAAAAGCTCACAGTCATCCAACTGCTCCTAATCATGTTGAACTTAATATGCTCTTATCTGCTATTACGGATAATTCAAACAGAAACTAATTTCCTTCAAACAAAATGTGAAACACCCACTTTGGCAAAGCATAGCACTGAAACAAAGATGACTATCAATTTCAATCATAAATCCATAACTCAACATAGTACTACATCAGTTAAACCTTTATTCCACTATGTCAAATAGACCATGTAAAGTGTAAACCATATCTGAAGAATTCTGGTTCAAAACACATATTCTCATGCAGGTTTTAACATAAATTATGCAATATTTTAGGTTCAAGTATATCATGTCCCTTTTCCTATAGGAACTTCCTCTTTCCTCCCTGTTAAAATTTAATGAAGTTAAATAATTTTATATTTCTTACAAGCTTATTAGGGCATTTAATTGGCTCTTAAGAACAAGTCTTAAACATGTTTCTCTCATTTTTGGATCATCTTCTCATCTAGTGAAGCTACCCCCAAGGCCCCAAGGCATGAAATGACAATTGTTTATGTCAAGATACCAGAACCAATAACATCTTAACAGATAATCAAGTAAATTCAATTATAAGATTGGTGAAAACTGAAAAGGGCCCTGCTCAATTGTTTAAAAAGAGAACCAGGTTACTGGGAAAGGGGCCCCTGTGTGAACCATGTGAAGGGGGGAAAAAATAACAATTATGATAATAATAAAAAAATCTACTCACAGCCTCCACTGCCTACCAAGCAAAAGGGAAGCCTTCATAAAGAAATCAAACAAATAACCATCCAGTCTACCTCCCCTGTTCTTTACCTTAAATAAACAATAAGAATTAAAAAAAAAATCGACACCCTTATGCATGCAAAATGATAAATGAAAAAAGGCTAGGAAAATTTAAACCCTAGACGAAAAGGATAAATGAAGGTTTAGGAAAAAAGAAATAGAAATTACTTCCTCCACAACCGCGTCGTAGAATCGGAGATCATCACTTCCGAAACTCAGAGCAGCGCAGACCGTCATGCCTTTGATCACTCTATGGCACTCATAGTCCTGAAGCTGCTTCGACACCGGTCGGAACTTCCTGAAGAACATCTCGTCGACCTCGGCGACCGTTTCGAAATCGCCGGCGGAAATGCTCTGGCGTTCCGCGAGACCTTCGAAAGCTATGGATAGCGTCTCCTTGTCAGCGGACAACGCCACGGAAACACTGTACCAGGCGTCATCGTCGTCGACTCTGTACTCTATGTCGTACACCGCCGTTTGTTCCGGCTCCGCCATGCCGCAAGGCGAGAGAGAGAGAGAGAGGGGAAGCTGAGTGTTGCTGCCGTTTACTTTTCACGTCACCGTCAGCGGTTTCGTCGTGTGTAACAAGTGTGTGAGTGTGTGTGAGAGAGTGTGTGTGTGTGGGGGGCAGTGTGAGACTGCGAGTTCACAAGGGGACAAAATTAGTGGCAAAATGGCAAAATGGTAGTACTAATTTGGAATGGTGAGGTAATCCTCGGGGCATACCGGCATAGTGTTTGGGATATTCAGTTAGTTATTCCCTTATTAAATTACTCCGGTCCTTATTAGAATCCATTTTGATTTCGTCATAATTTTCATCATGTCTTTTTAATTGGAATAAAAATTTTAAAAATATTTCATAATAATTAGAAGAATATAACGAATGTAAAAATATATGATATTTAAGGTTTTTTTTCCAATTAAAAAGACATCATAGATTAACCTAAGACGAAATCAAAATACTTTATAGTAAGGATCGAAGGAAGTATCTCATTACTGCTACTTTTCTTTTATTTGATTTGTACTAGTAATTGCTGATCATTGATTATGAATATAGCATATTAAAATTGAAGGGAAAATGTAATTGAAAAAAAATTAAAGAAAAAGAAAAAGTGAAGAGAGAGACCACGGTGAAAAACGGGGAAAAAGAGTTTCTTACTGCATTGAAAATGTTGAAATCCTCCAAAACGACTAAAAGGAATTATGGAGTAGTGTATAGAGAATGAAAGAAGATGGTGAACTTTGTATAATTGCTTTAAATTGAAGAACTACGAATATTTGAAGAGAAAAAGAAGATCCACAAGTATGTATTTACCATATCCATATCAAAAGACTCTGTTCCCTTCTCTTCAACTCTTTTTTTTCCCCTCGAAAGGGAATATAGACTAGGAGGACTAACTTGATAAGTTTAATTTATGGAGTTTTTCTAATTGAAAATGAAATTTTAAAAGTAACTAGGAGTATAATGATATGTAGGGTTAAATAAAGAACACTCATATTATGTTCTAAAAATATTTGGGAAAATGACAAATTAATCTCTTAGAGAAAGATATAGAAAATACAATTTTTTGTATAGGAAAAGAAAATACTACTATTTAACCAGAAGACAATATATACTTACACAAAAGAGGAATGGACAATATCCACTCATCATAAATTTACAGTTTCACTAAAAAAAAAATTCATAATATCATCATTTTTTTTTTTGGGGTTGAAAATTTAATTAGTATAAATGAAGATTTTGTTTTGTGAGTGTCATTCTTTTTTCCTTTTTTTCCCCCTTGGAAACGAGAGTATCATTCTACTCGGTGTACTGTTGGCCTATATACATTTTGAGATTAATTGGCCAAAACACAGGTTGCACACACACACACCCCCCAAAACTAATTTCTATGGTACGATTCTGTATTTTGAATTTTGATAACTATTTCCCCCTCTGTCTCTCCCCGTAAGTAAAATAATCAACCGTTTTGAGAAGGTAAGAAATAGTACTCCCTCCGTCCCATAATTATTATCCAGTTTAGGTTTTCATTTTTAGTTCAAATTGTATTAAAAGTAAAATTTCAAACTGGACAATAATTTTAGGACGGAAGGAGTAATAAGTAGTAGATGTTGACAACAGTCACGTGTCTGATGACTTTATAAAGTTTATAAACATGCTGAACTTCATTTCCAAAATAAACATGGCATTTACAATTCTGTTAGCCAAAAAACCCTCTAGAAAGGGCCGTATCTTTCTCAAAATTCTGAGAGGAAAAATGAATTATGCCCCATATTAAAACCAGGAGATTACAGGTAAATCATAGCCTTGAGTACCTTTTCTACACATAACTGTTTAAATATTTATAATCAATAGACATTATCCATTACTGTAATTTCCTTTCCCTATTGCCGCCAATGCCCACTAGTATATTCGTATTCTTGCAGAAGTCAAGACCGGCTCAGTTCCTACCACAAAAATAGCAGATGAGTTCACTGAGACTTGCTGCTTTCACCGATTTCAGCGTCATCTGTTTCACTTCCCAGCTTGACAATATCTTCCACAAGGATTTTTCCTTCTGTTCCAGAGCCCAAGAAAAAGAACAACAACAACAACAACATCATTAACTGCTCACATTTTGATGTAGTAGTGATGAAATAGTAACGGATTATGATTTTGATGCAAAAAATAATTTGAAACTTGTCACCAATCTCAAGTTCAAACTTCAAACCATCTAAAGACCAGAAGAATCTGAAGCATAAAATGTTACCAAATGTTGAACCAGGAAGTAGATGAGGGGAAGGAGAGATAATTGCTCTTTTGAAAAATCTTAAGATGTATCAAAATGGAAACTCCACCAAACAAAGACAAGGAACTGCTACATACAGAACTAACCTTTATCTTTGGAAAGTCTACTGATAAGTTCCTCAATACCCTCTTTACCCAAAGTGTCTTTCAGATACGTCGCAGCGGATGCTACTTCCTCGGGCGTCACTTTGCCATCATAGTCCCTATATAAGAAAACCAAATCTCATAAATTCCACACAGTAGACTTCTTGAGCATGTGAAAAACTACTAAACTATAACAGCTGAGTCATTTCCCAACCACTGCTAAAACACAAAAGGCTATTACCGATGAAGGAAAATCCTAAAATACACATGCATCAGCAGTTTCTGATTGAGAGATGCATTCATCTATAGATCAGCTGAAAGACTCGGAAAACTTTCCGCAATCACTCAAAACAGAGATGGCATGGTACAGTTTTCAAGCCAATCTGGTTCTGGTGAGGGGTGAGTGGTAAACTGCTGTAAACGAAGTCTTTGGTTACTATTATTTCAATAAATCGAATAGCTTTAAGTGGGTTGTACACATAAATTTAAGTCTGAACCAGCACAAATCTTGACCATACAGCGATGAACTAGTAAGCAATTATCATCTGCTAGCATACCTATCAAGCAAACGCCACCGATCACCGATGGTGGCATCCACATCATCAATTTCTTTTTCGAGCTTTTGAAGCATAGAATCAACCTGTATCCAAGAAGGCCATTTAATTATGGTCCACGAACATGTTACCATGCATCAGTGACTAATATAATGCAAGATGGTGCACTTAAACCATCTCAATGTCCTACCCTGTCTCTAAGAGCTGATGAAACTTCATCTCCTAACGCCTTTTCGACAGCATGATCGCTATCCTCTCTAGCTGCTTTATATGCCTTCTTTGCTGCTTCTTCGCCGTCTGTACCTTCTTTTTCCACCATGCTATTATATAATTCTATCTGAAATTAAAATGCCAGAAACAAATGATTATTTTGATCAAGACAAACGATAACTTCATCACAAACAACTCAATTCGGATAAATATGCTTCTACATCAAAATCAACCAGTAAAATGGGATGAAGAGATGACTTTCCAAAATTTGCATCATCATAAATTCACTGAATGGAAATTCATAGAGTGACTTAGAACAAATAAAAAGATCTTAATTTATCTCCAAATCCAATTGGAAGGAAAAAGAAACATAGCAGGAAGACCGTAAGAACATATAAAATGAGAGGTAACAATGGATAACTGTTCACAAACCTCTCCCATGAAATTTTGGCATCATATGGCAAGAGAATTTCGGATGATTAAAACCCAGTCTCTTTGAAAGGAAATGTGAAATGATTAAATCATTTTAGGCAGTATATTCTCAAAAAGAGCTCAATACGGTATCAATTCACTCTACATTATACCACATAATTCCAAATTTGTTTTGAACAACCCGTGTTCCCATTGAAGCAGATAGTGTAGCCTTAAACTTTCAAACTAAGATCTTTCAATAGGTACACATAAAACCTTATCGTAAAATAGATGAAGAAATGAAAGAGGAAATAGGTTCAGGTCAATAATATCACTTGCGCTTCAGGTAAATTCCAGGACTCATATTCAGATAGATTCGAGCAGAAGGGAAAAATAAGTAGGGTGAAACATATTGCATCAATTCATTTAAAGGCTCAAGTACCTCCTTGTTGATAAGTCTCAAGAATTCTTCACGTTCCCTGCTCACAGACTGCAAAATTGAGCAACAAAAGTAATTTAAAACACGTGAAGTTGACATAAATTCAATGAAGAAATGATGAAGAAGAATACAGCTAATCCTTACAGAAGCTGAGGCTAAAACAGCCAATGCTTTACTTAATTGGCAAAGCTGGTCTTGTTTATCTAACGTTTTTGCTTTAATCTGTCGAGCTTCTTTTTCTGTGGGGATGGTCATTTCTTCCAGGGCCACATCCTTCTGCTTCCTAGCCTGTGCCACTTCTTCTTTCTCTTCCTCCTCCTGATTGGTTAATATCAGTACAAAAACGAATGAGATAAAGAATAGAAGGTTTAAAGGCATCTAAGGAGCCAATAGGCATTTCGCTCAGAGTTAAAGCATTTGCTATTCAGGCAAGAACATGAAGGACCATGCAGTCAGAAAGTAGAACACCAAAGTAAACTCAATGCACTAAACCTAAACATGGGGGAAGTTTAGAACCAATTTAAGGCTCCACAATGGCAATCCAACAAAGCAACAATAAAATGTACATTCCTAGAGGCCATTGATGAAAAAGAAAACGTGAACTGAAACTTGTCAGTAGCTTAGTAACAATGACATTAATATAGAAAAATACGCAAAGGCAGCGTCTTAGACGCTGCTGCATATGCAGTGTTTGCAGGTTGGGCTTTAAGGCCCTATCTATGGAGGACGAAGTTGGGTTATTAAGACATCTTCTAAGACCCTGATTCCACAAATTGAACCCATTGCCTCATACGACAATGGTATTCACAGCTGCACCAAGTTTCCACATCAACTTCTCATTGTCCCAGGAAAAGATACTACATTAACGTTTTCTTTATTCCTCACTTATATGGCTGTGTGGCTAATAGTTAAAAGATAACAAAAGAAGTGGAAAATTACAGTGTAACCAGCCCCTTCCAGGCATTGTACATCAAGACCATCCTATTTGAACTCAAGAAAAGTAGACTCCTTTGGAACTCAGAAATAGGTGATTGTTATGCTGGAGAACTATAGAGCACAGAGCACAGAGTTGGCAGGAGAGTAAGACCTTAAGTTCCCAATAAAAGCATTAACAAACATGATTTGCGTAATAGCAAACTTCTACATAATCCAAAAAAAGATGTTAACGCCCTTAGGTACCCCTACTGTTAAAGGAACACACGTGCACAAACTCACTAACATAAAAATAATGCATTAGACTTGCTTGAAATTTTACATGTCATATACTCTATTAGTCTAAGCACCTACAGTCTCAATTCTGTATCACAGGGCAAAACGAAATATGCAAAATTTAACCTCAATTAATTCTTCTTGCATTTCAAGGAACTCTAGTTTTCTCCTCCTTTCAGCAACAGAGTCTTCGGATGGCAGCGTAGTAACTTGAACAGTATCAACCACTTCATCTGGAAGGGAGGACAATGTTGCTTGAACAGCTTCCCCAAGGTTCACTTTACCAGCCACAGTAAAGGCTCTGTATGGAATGCAAACAAAGTGATGCTTCAGTGGGTGGCCACAACATTAAACTAAAATATTAAATGCATGAAAGTAATGTTACCTGGAAAGGATTAACAGGGAAGATGGAACTGAATGGTTGAGAGACAAGTCCAACCAATCCTTTAACTGAAAGGAAAAGAAAAAGGTAAGAAAGTTGCATAAGTAACACTTAAAAAATAAAGGTTATACCAAAACATAACAGATGCTCTTTTCCAGTTTTGAATCAGGTCTTTTTCCTTATCCTTTTTCTTAGTTTCAGACAGTTCTTGAGACCAATTTTTCTCTTGTTAAATAAATTTTCTAGTTATGTTTATTGGCAAATCAGGAAACAAGAACATAAAAGTTCTGCTTACTGAAAGTATTTCCTCCAGGAACCGAAACAAAAGAAAAGCTACTCTTTTCTGTCTCCAAATTTTGAGCATTCCCAAAGAAGCAGACACAATCAACAAAACATGAATACACTTACTTGCTGCCTCATTTCATCAACTGAAACCAATCCAAGCATTCCCCGTTCACGACATGCTTGGCGGAGCTCTTCCTCAGAAAGAGACTCCACTCCCTCAGCTTGAATCATCTTATCATCTTCCTTGATCCTAGATTAACCAGCCAATACTCGTTTAAGATGTCAAAAATATGTATATTATCACAAAAATAAACAACTCCTAGCTCATGTTTTTCTAGTTCAATTCTATGGTCATCAAGCAGTGTAAATAACTTCTGTTCTTCCCTAAAATGAGAATCTTTAGGGCCGACCAAGTAGTCGGCTAAAACTACAAAATAGCTGATTCAGAGGAACAATGTCCCTTCTTGTTCCATGAAGCACTAGCTCAGATTGGAATAGGAATCTAAGAAGTTAACATTGCAGTATGTGGATAGAAAATCGAATTTACCACTGCTATAGCAACTTTACTGGTTCCAATTTGTGCAGAAAAAATTTCAAAGTTGACAACCAAAATTTTGTCTACAGTTACACAGTTACATTTCTAGTACTGTCTCTTTTTCAGGATTAAGGACAAGTTATAATCAGAAATCCAATAAAGAACCACATAATTTGAAAAACTCACAACTCTTTCCAAACACATAAAAGCAGGGAAGACAGGCCTAATAAACTTTTTGATCTCGTACTTTTAACTTGACTGCTTCTTTCTCAACTGAAGATATATATTGCTAACTTTAAAAAAAAAAAAATTAATTGATAACGCCATCAGAATCTAAAGCAGCTTACTTCTCCTCATAAAGGTAAAGAAAATGTTTTATTCTGATATTAAGGTTGGTCATTCTTATACAGCTCTAAACATTTGGTGCCTTTCCTTCAGCAAACTTATTATGAAAAAGTAGCATATTCTATTTGTCTCAAATGCTGACAAATGTTGTTCCTTAAGCTTGACATCTTTGCGGGGTAAGATCTAGTATCCTTGATAGCAAATAATAAGACGAAGTTTTGCTAGTAAGCAAAAATACAAAAGAACCAAATGTTCAAGTCAGAAACTGCATGGAAAACATAAGAACCATTCATGGTCTACATAAAACCGAACTTACTTCTGAAGTTTCGTTCTTAACATGTGACGTAGGTATGCATCTGTACCAAAGGGGCTGATGTTCATATACTTGCACATGTTCACCAACCGAGGTCTGCATATTTGGAAAAAAATCCTCACTTTAGAGAGAGAGAGATAGAGAGAGAGGGGGGTAAAAAAAACTTAAACCTATTAGAGGCTGACTTCACAGTTTAACAATTGACGAACCTACTAATATTGTCCAGAGTGAGCTCGTCGTTGAATAACTTAGCAAAGCCTAAAATTTCCTCATTCGAAACGGCAGCACCCTTCCTAACCTGAAAAATAGTTTAACAAAGAGAAAAAACGGAAAAAACTCCGTCAATATATGTTACGGAGCACACTTCTCAAAGGAAAGAGGCATCACTTAAGACTGTAATTTAGTTGATTTTCTAAAAAGAACAACCAAGAATATTCATTGCCTTGTTCATGAATTCATCAAGATCTTCAGCTGTTTTTGTAATTTCTCCACTGCGGGAATCTTTCACTTCTCTGGCCATTTCTTTTACAGTCTCTTGAAGAAATTTTGCATATTCTATCCTAGCATTCAGCTTCCTTTTCAGAGCCTCCTGAAATATCCAATCAGATTGAATTTCAGATGCTTCAGGTAAGAAAGAATTCAATTCATTTCAGATAACAAAAGAACTTACAGCCATACACACTAGTTATGATAACGAATTTCCGTGCATAGATTAAAAAGACAGCTTTAAAATACCTTCAACAAGTATCACATGATTTAGTGCTGCAATAAGTCATGTGTTTTTAATTTAGTTTCATGATTTAGTGATCCTTCAATACAGCCTAATCCTTGTTAGAATTTTTGAAGAAGAGATGAAATGTTTTTAATCCAAACAATCTTATCAAGATAATAGGATTTGGAAGTATATTAAAACCAATAAAAACTAAGAATAACATTAAAAAACCACCAACACCAGATGTTTGAGTGCATGTAATCTAACCCTAAAAGATTCGTAAATGAGAAGCAAACATTTTAATGATGTCTTCATTACATAATTTAAGAATTGGAGATTCATCGAATCCCATGAACAGTACGTTAACTTAAGAACATCTGACAATGCCATAAATAGAAGTATCTGTATATTCTAAGTTTCACATGATGTTAATCATTATGCATGAATTCATGGTTATTTCAACACTTAGAAAGGACATAGGTGGCAGACAAATGCAAATTTCCAAGTTTGGTCAGCCAAACCTATTCCGATTAAAAATTACTATTTCTACAAATTTAGAACTTAGTAGAGGAAATTTTGTCCTCCTTTAATACATAAATACCACTTACATCTCTTACAACTAGATTGATCTAGTCCAAGTTTAAACAAACTTGTCATAAATGAGAGTTTCAGGATATTCAATCAATAACTAAGTAGTTCAGGATTTTATATTTTCATCAGAAAAGAAATATGACAACACAATCATATGGTCAGCACGAGTTGCATTTTATTCAGATGAGTGGAAAGAAAAAATGGAAAGACCTGTGGTGAAATAGACAAATATGAATTAGAAATAAAGGCAGAGAAAACTGAAAATCTATATGGTAAGAATAACAGTAACCTGCTCCTTCATCTTGTCTTGGAAAGTTGATGGCAACATGTTGGGGAACAATTTCAGGAACACCGGCAGCAAAAATTCCATGAAGGGAACTATAATAAAAACAGCAAAAGGAACAAGCCGGAAAATATCTGCTGTAGTCCGCGTGAGTTGCTGCCTCTCTCTCCTAGAAAGACTCTTTCCACTGGCAAGTTTGCGCAACAATTTCACGCTGATCCTCACATCAGCCCATAATAATTTCGTACCCAGCCAGTAGTGTTGCATTGTAGACTTGAATTCGTCCTTCCAGTGTTTAAGCTTCTTAGCCCAGTCCTCCCTAATGGAAGAGGAAAGAATATTATCAACCATATAGAACACAAAAAAGAAAAGAAACAAAAAGGGTTTTTGTTGAATAGATGCATTTTCCTTTTCTTCTCTTTTTTGGACAAAGAAAGAGCATGGTACAGTTACCTGCTCATAGATGTAACGGCTTTAAAAGCAGGACCAATTCCTAAAAGCATAGCCCAAATTCTCTGCATTATAGTTTTGGAATCCTTTTGACTATCTTGCAACTGCTTAGCCTTTGCTTTGGCTTTGACCGTGCTCAACCCCTCCACTGCCTGGTCACATTCTTCAGGTGAAGGTTCCTTTTTTTTCTTAGGACTCTGTTCTTCATTATTATCACCACCAGGAAGCGCATTAGGCTGATCAGCTGCAGCTGTGGAAAAATATCGGGCATGATCTGTCACCCATCTAACTCCCAAAAGAGACCCTTGGTATCCATTTCCAACATCAAATGACGGAATCCCAAAAAAGTTTTGCCTGAATCCTTTTTCAGATAAACCAGTTAGTATATCTTTAGAAATATAATTCGATTTTCCTTCTTTCTCGCGATTTGAATTTGGAGATGAACAACTGAAAGCCCCGCTCCAATCCCATGCCCCAGAACTAACAGATGCATTATCATGCTGAAAGCAAGAATTGCCTTGAATTAAGTATTTGGAGCGATTAAGGGAGTCATAGAGATGCTTTTTCCTCCTCAGGATAGCTCTAGAAGCCATTATAAGAGAAAAGATCCCAGTTACATAAAGTCAAGATTAAAGGAGATACCAGCACCTGTAGATTAAAAAGAAATGCATAAATAAAAATAAAATAAAAGAGAAAAAACAGAACCCCAAATAATTATAATGCTAAATGAACCTGTAACGGTACAAACACCACAACATATCCAGTATTACTCATTCTTGTCAAAGTTCTACTACAAAATAATTTCCTGTTCAGTAGACTTCATTATAATGCTAAACGAAAAATTTCCTTTAGAAATTTTCATTTCAAAAAGATTGGACAAGGTTTATAAGGTTCCAAAATTATCGAATACTTCAGTAATTCTTCACAAGGATCCTCAGAGGAACCATAAGTTCCATCCCTAGTTATGTCTCACCCCCTTTCACGTCCATCTATTGAAGGAACCTCAAAGTCGTAACAACATAAGATCCCAAAGAAACAACCCCCACACACACACACACAAAACACCCCAGCTAATACAAAGTTGAAACAGAGGGATGAGTGTGCGTGTGTGCAGTAAGCTGTCAAAGGTGAACTCCTTGTCGCCACAAACAGCTAATAAAAAAAAATAATAATAATAATAAAAAAAACACTTCAAAATCAGCCTAATCATTTTCCCCAAACTTCATGCTTGGCACTAACCACATCATAAGCAGGCAATTATCGTCACTCCCTTCAACCCTAACACCAAAAATTCCTTAAAAAATAAATGAAACCTTCGAACTTCAATCACATTGCGAAGGCAGAAACCGAATATGCATAAACACAAACAAAAAAAAATTAGAAAATAGACGAATGCAAATTTTCAATTGGCGCTACGCAGTGAGGTCAACGGTTAAACTCTAAAACGAGCTAAAAATCTACAACGAACTAGGAAATAGGCAAAATTACACGAATATAAAATAAAAAAAAATAAAAAAAAATCATAAGAAAGGAACGTAAATTTAACCGAAGGAAGAAGAAATGACGTAACCTGAGCTGAGCAGAAGACGAATGACGATCGATCAAATGATCAGTGAAAATTGTAACCGTGCAGTACTGGTTTTATTGAGGTACCAGTTGTTTTGTTGCTTTGGTTTAGTGGGGAAGAAAATTCAAAGTGTTTTCTGGATATGTTAAGTGGGCCGGGAACAAGACCCGGCGGCGAGGGTAAGAATTAGGAAGAATATCCATCGCCCGATGCGGCTCATGTCAACGGGCCGGGGCCTCACTTAATATTTTTGTATTGGGTTAATTAAATATAAAGGGCATGCTAAATGTGGCCCTGTTCTTTAGTAATCCTTTGTCACGGTGTGGGTAATTTAAAATTAACAATTAAAAAAATTGATTTATGTATACATGTAATCTTTGGACGGTGGTGCGAAATATTTAGTGTTAATTTTATTTTTATTTTTTTTTTACATTCAAAATTTTAAAGTAAGTCCACTAATTGTGTGTATAAACCGAAGGAGACAAGGAGTCACACTTGTATAGTTCCATAACTTTTATAGTCCTGATTCAATTTATGCAAGAACATTGATAACTTGAGTGTATGAGAACAAGTACCTAAAGTGTATGTATTAGTGGGCTGGCAATGGCTTGAGGAGATATGGGAATAAACGAGTTCGGGCCAGAGTTGATAATAATAGTGTGGTGGAGTGGTAGAAAATGAGGAAATTCACCAAGGATTGATTTATGAAAACGGATAATTCTTTGAGAGGGTATGGAATTTGGATAGTGGAGCTAACCTACATTATTATGGAATTATTTGGTATAATAATTGAATCGAAGATTAGACATACCTTTAACGCCTAAAGATACTTATTAGATATAATAATTTGACCGATGATTGTAATTTAATTTATCTAAGTGAAAAATCCTTATTTTTTATCACCACAAAAGAAAGTTAATAGGTTATCTAAGAGTTACACTATTTAATTTGGTTCAAACGAAAATAGTTAAGGTGATAATTTCATTTATCACATGTATTATAGTAAACATTACAAAATAAAAGTAAAAAATAAGGCCATATACAGTGACAACCCATCATCATCATAGCACAAGAATCAAATAAGATTATTATATTCACTTTTCTTGCATATTATGCGCTACTTTGAAATTTGAATCTAGAGATAGTACAACTTAACTAGTGATTACTACATGATACTATGATGCAAGACGCATTTTTTATTATTTGGAGTGGTGCCAAGACTTGTGACCAACTAAAATGCTTGTTTCGTCATTTGGAAAATGAGTGCCCTCCATTCGTTAATATGAGTGACCCATCGTCAAAAATAATAGCCACATTGTGAAAGGAGAGATAAGAAAAGTAACCATTCAAAAAACACACAGCACGTAAAGATGTGGTTTTTCGGAATGATTTCGTGCGAAATATGAACCGCTTATCAAATCGCGCCATGATTTTGAAACACACTTGAATCAAATGAGGGACTCAAAGGGAAGTCTCAGAAGCACATTGGCAATCAAATGATCTGGAATGTAGTCTGACATTGCATATGGTTATCTTTGGATTCAATTCTTGCCCTAAGCCAAAATCGCTTGTTGGTGGAGAAACTTTGGCAGTGGCTTTTCCTACTCAGGATTGAGCATTTGAGAATTACAGTGATGAAGGGAGGATATTAATTTCCTCTTCCTATGATAACAAAAAGAAAATTTTGAACCACCATCAATTCTAACAATCTTCTCTCTAGATATAAAAATATTCTTAATTACTTGTATCAATCAGAAACCCTAATATTGAAAGTACATCACTAATTCACTCCTGGAGCAGTACTTAATCATAACATGCAGATCAAAACAAATAAAAACTAAAGGGAAAAGGTAAAAAAGAATTAATCAATGGCACTTTCCATGAAACTAGAATTTTGAACAATATATACCTGCTATGATGCCATTAATGAAGAACGAAAGAGCAGAAGAATTTCAATAGGATTTGGGCTGATACAAAATTTACCCAAAAAAAATGAAAATAAAATTGGATATACTAATTCGGAATAAATAAAGAACGAATTTCTTAACATTGGATATTGCCTCCCTTTCAACTACACAATTTTTTTTTTTACTGTATTAAAAAATAAAGGGCACTTTTAAAAAGTTGTTTACAGTGGTGGCAGTAAAAGAAAGGAAGAAAATTATAATTCGTGAAAGACATCAACGATATGAAAGAAACTATTCATTTAAACTTAAGGAAAACAAAATTATAAGCGTCCGATATAGGAGAATCTTTACCTTCTGAGCGATTATTTTGTTGATTCCTTTAAATACTACTATATTAGAAATAAAAACTCCCGTTTCAAACACCTCCTATGATTGTCATATGGCATGAAGAAAGTACTAAATTGCCCTTTTGTCTAACCATAACTAAATTACTAAATCTTCCTTTGCACTTTACGTGACACGTTTTTTTTTATAAATTTTTTCTTTATGTTTCATTCAATCAGAGTGATTTTCTTTTCTGAATTATGGAGTCTAAATTGAATTGATCAATTAGGTTTTTGTTATAAAGTGTCAATTTTGTTTTAAGCGTATACCCTTCGGATGAAACTTATTACAAAGCTATTAAAAATCTCCAAAATTTTAAGTATTGATTTGGCACGACCAATGGAGAACATCAATAAATCATCATACTAATATTTAAAATTATTAGGATACTTTTATATTTTATCTAACATTTACTTCAACACATATATTCGATTAAGTCTATTTATATTTAATAAGTAACACTTATAAAATATTTCTAAAACATACATGGCGAAATACAATTTTTTTTTTGTTAAATATAAATATTTCTATGATCACACTTATAAAACATTTCTAAATCCTTCAAACATTTCTAAAATATATCGCTCTAAATACAATTTTTTTTTTCAAATATAAACATTTTTAAAATCTACAGATAGACAGACATCACTAGTAAATATATAAGGGGGAAACGTCAAGTTCCAACAGAAGGTAAAGATTGAAGCCCAACTATATAAAGATAAAATATATGTCAACCATTTTGTAATAGTTACAAAGAAATCTTTTATTTCCAGCATTTTTTTTTTTGGCTATATCAAATTGATTATAACAATTATAACAACATTGTCTATATGACTCTATATATACGTCAGTTTTTGTCCTACAAACCAACATAAAAACAGACAAACTGAATTAAAAATATGATATTGATTTTTGGATATCTTATTTTTTCAACAATAATGCACGACTCATATATGTTGGCCAGCTTGTTCTGAGTTATCATCATTACATTTATGAACTAATTAAAAAGTAGTAATGCATTTACTTTTCTGGTAAATATGGTGAACTTCGAAATAAATTTAACATGAACTCAATAAAAATTTACAAATCAGGCCCCAACCCCAACTCCATGTATGTTTACCATTTGATGTATATCTCCCCAATGCAATAATTTATTTTTCCTGTAATTATTATATTGGGAACTAGTTTGAGAAACTCTATAAGTGTGTTTCTTACTCAATCGTCCAGTGTTTCAAACGATTTTTACATTTTCTTTTAAATGTTTAACCTATTTCTCCCAGCTACTTGTTATTCAAATTCAATTTCAGTACTAGAAATCACATTTTCAACCTCAAGATTTTGGACAAATTAATCATAAGTGCCTTCGCTCGTTCTCGCAGAATAAATTAAAAAAGTTTGAAAATCGAACATGAGATAAAATTAAATACTATACCTGTGAGATTAGAGTCAATCTACCCAAAGCAATCTAAAATAGGAAAGTAGAATGTTTAACGAAAAGAAGTAATTAAACCAACTGAAAATAAAAAGGGATTGACTTTGAAATGTAGGTGGGAGAGTTGTGAGACAACAGAATTAATCACAAAGGTTGAAAAATAATACTACTAGTATTGAAAATGAAATTCGTCGTGGCAGCAGGCAGGCGGAGTCGGCGTCGGATGGTGGTTGAATTTGGCGGGTACGTCATCTAACCACATTTGACTTTCAGAGTTTAGACCCCATAAAACATTTTTCCTAATCTAGAAATTTATAAATAAAATAATTTGTCTCCCAGAGAGAATCATTTCCTTAACACAAAAAAAATAAAAATAAAAATAAAAAGAAGAATAAACGCATTTTCAGCTTTTCTTTGTAAAAATTCTCCTCCTTTTTCGTTTGACGATTTCTCTAGATTTCCGCGACTACAGTACAGTACAACGAAGATGGATGCACGGATCGACGACGAAGACGTCGACGTTTTGAACCCTTTCTTCACCGTCAGTCCTCCTCACTCTTCTTCTCCTTACTCTCACAATTTCGCATTCTCCCCTCCCGACGATCTTTTCACTTCCCCCGCTGGCGCCGCCGTCTACTCCGATCCTCAGCCGCGCAATTTGAACCTCCTCGACGACGATGACGCCGTCTTCACTTCGGTTTCGCAGAATTACCCAGCTGCCCCGCGGGTATTTGACCGGTTCGACTCCTCTTCGGCCTCCGACGACGACGACGAGAATGATGAATTCTACGCCTCCGATGCCGCTCAGAAGAGGCTGGAATACATGATGGATTATCTTAACAACAAGCTATGCAACGATGACGTTATTGGAAGTAGCCGGGCTGTTCAGGCTGAGCAAAGTCAACCTCTGCCGGAGTTTATTGCCGAAGGCGGTGGCACGGGGATTTTCAAAGTCCCAGTGCGTTCAGCGGTGTACCCAGACCGGCCTCCGAGCTTGGAGGTGAGGCCGCATCCTTTGAGGGAGAGGCAAATTGGGAGGTTTTTGAGGACTATTGTGTGCGTGGATGATGGGAGGCAAATGTGGGCTGGGTCCGAGTGTGGTCTTCGGGTTTGGGATTTGGACAATATCTATGGTGCTGGTGCTGGTAGCGGTGGTGTGGAGGATGGAGAGCAGGAATATGACCAGGTGGAAGAGGAGGAGGGGTGTGAGGGGTTTGTGGAGGAGGATACAGTGCCCTATGTTGAGTCTGTAAGGACTGCTGGAACACTCTGTGTTGTTGGGGACGATGGGAATAGGGTGGTTTGGAGTGGACATAAGGATGGAAAAATAAGGTGTTGGAAAATGGATGAGACTAATAAGTGCGGAAAGTGCTTTAGTGAAGTCATCTCGTGGCAGGCGCATCGAGGCCCTGTTCTTAGCATGGTGATGACTGCTCATGGTAATTGATTGCTTTTGGCTTGATTTTACAATTTTTTTCTTAATAATGTTTGGAGCAATGATACTGTTCTTATGCTAAAACTTGAGAATGTGATGGCGCTGACATTCTTTTGTTACTTGTGCATTTTATTGGGAGTTAGGAAATTCATTAATTTCTTGTTTCAGGGATGCTTGTTGTTAGACTTGGTTCTTTAATTCCTGTCTTGCTTAAGCATTTTATTTGGAGTGAGTAAACTCGCTACTTCGTTGTTTCAGTGATACATGCTGTTGGACTTGGTCCTCTAAGTTTCTTGAGTCGTATGCTGTGCATATTATGCTGTAGGTTCTTTAGGATCTCCTGAGTGTGTGTTAAGAAAAATGGTGGAAAACTGGAAATAAAACTCTGGGTGTTTCAAGCCTGGTCAGTGAGTGACTAATTTTATTTTGGACATGCTTGTAGGAAGCCCCACATGTCTATTTCTTGCGGTTTTGTTTCTCATTCTTATATACTTCTGTGGGCAATGAAACTGATCACTCTGGGCAATGAGTTAAGTGTCTCTTAAAGTTTTATTCTTCGATCATGGTTGCCTTTTTGGCTTCCCTGTAGCTCATAATGACTATATGGATTATGTGTTAAGTACAACCAAAGAAACAATCAGAAGGTGATAACATGCTGCTCAAGGTACCAAATGTATCTTTTAAATATAAAACACCCCCTCCCCCACCACCACCACGACGTCTCCCGCCCCACAGAAAATGCTGAATGCAAGACAGTTCAATAGTGCTTTATCAACTGACCGAAATGTTTTAATCAATGTGTATGGCATAAACGTTTGGATTTAACCATCTAAGGTAGGGGCAAACTGATGAAGAAGTGAATGTGCCTTTGAGTACGTTTATACTGCTGCCAAAGAATGACTAAACCTTCCTTCTATGTATGTTGATGCACGATAGGCCTTTATGTGTTTACAGTCTGCCGTTTTATTGCACTTGACTTGTATAAAGAACAAGTGTTGCTTTTTTTGTTCCTGAAATGTAACAAGTGTTGCTTGGGAGTACAGCCGTACAGGAAGTTGATTTAAGTAGTTTTAGGATCATAAAGTATGCAGGAATTGTCAGGAGCATGTATACTGGCACCCTTTTGGTGGCTGTTCAAGTATATTATGAATTTATGAATTACAAGAAGAAAATTCTGGCACCCTTTTGGTGGCTGTTGAAGTTATATAATGACAATTTGAATTACATAGGGAATTCTTTTAGTGTTACAAGAGGACTTCGTAAGTGCGAATCATGCGATTATCTTCATTTTCATAATCTCTCAGTGCTTATTTTCTGGGATTTTCTTTCGTTTAGGAGATCTGTGGACTGGGTTTGAAGGTGGTGTGATAAAGATATGGCCTTGGGAAGCTATTGAGAAATCTCTTTCTCTAAAATTAGAGGAAAGGCACATGGCTTCTTTATCACTAGAGAGGTCATATGTTGATCTGAGGAGCCAAGTCAGTCTGAATGGAACCGGCAATAGTATATTTACCAATGATATCAAGTTTATGCTGTCTGATCACTCCAGAGCAAATGTATGGGCCGCTGGCCATCTTTCGTTTGCAATATGGTATGTTTCCTTCTACATTCATTTTTGATATGATTCAGTTTGGTTATCTTTATTTCCTTTGCCTGCACGGCTGTTCAAATCTCCCATCCACAGACTTCTGCAGTGATTAGAGGAGCACTAGACTATTGATGCCTATTATGTTTCATTGTTTGTATATGCATGCCATGTTGGTTATATTAATCGGATGTTTTTCCTTTTTAAACTTTCATGGCAACCCTTGTGTTTTTGTGGTTACTGTTTTTAATTTCTTACTGTTCATGGTAACTTTAGTGTCCCTACCCTCCTGTTTACCCCCATCATCCTGGAGTTTCTATGCACCATTCAGGCATAAACAAAAATGTAAATCTGTAACATATTCTTTCCTGTAGTGAAAAGAATCATAGAAGATTTTTGTCAAACTACTTGCATGTTGTAGAACTTTTATTCCTTAATTGTCACATGACGTGCAAATCATGTTTGTGCTGTCGACAAGACTATATGGTAACCTGGTAACCCCTTCCACTTTTATTGTGCAGGACTGAAGTAAAATCTAATCTGAAAGCTAGTTGTTGCATTATTATAAGTTTCCTAGTAATATCCTTTAGATTTATTAATGTTGCTTTTCTAAGGCCTTTTCTGTCACGAGGAGCGGTTGTCAACCAAGATGAATCATTCAAATTTTTGAAAACTTTGTGCTTTTTCTTTTTTATTTTTTGTGTTGCTCATCCTCTTTACTAGTATCTTATTGCTTTTTCTCTGCTGTCATCTTCTTATCGATATTTTCATTCATATCAATGTGCCTTGTATCATGATTTTACAGGGATTCTCGTACAAGAGAGTTACTGAAAATTTTCAACATAGATGGCCAAATGGACAACACGTCTGTAATGCAAGATTCAATCATGGAAGAAGATTTAAAATTGAAGTTCGTCACAGGTTTAAGAAAGGACAAGCCGCAAAATTCCTTCAGTTTCTTTCAGCGCTCACGCAATGCTATTTTAGGTGCTGCCGATGCTGTGCGTCGAGCTGCAGTAAAAGGAACTTTTGGAGATGACAATCGAAGAACTGAAGCATTAGTCGCAACTGTTGATGGAATGATTTGGACTGGGTGTGCCAATGGGTCACTTGTTCGGTGGGACGGAAATGGAAACCGTTTGAAAGATTTCCAGTACCATTTCTTTGCTGTTCAGTCCCTTTGCACCTTTGGGTCACGTATAGTTGTTGGGTATTCTAGTGGTACTGTACAGGTATTAGATCTTGATGGTAATTTGATAGGAGGATGGGTAGCTCATCACAGTCCTGTGATTGACTTGGCTGTTGGGGCAGGCTATGTTTTAAGCCTGGCTAATCATGGTGGTATACGTGGTTGGAGTATTACATCTCCAGGACCAGTTGACAGAATTTTGCATGCTGAGTTAGCCAGGAAGGACTTTCTGTATACAAGACTGGAGAACTTGAAAATATTGGCTGGTACATGGAACGTCGCACAAGGAAGAGCTGCTTATGATTCACTAATATCCTGGATTGGTGCAGCTGCTGTGGATGTTGACATTGTTGTCACCGGATTGCAGGAAGTGGAGATGGGTGCTGGCTTTCTGGCAATGTCTGCAGCTAAAGAAACTGTAAGATAGATATTTTTCTTCTGGTTTTTTATTTGAATATTTATTGTCTTTTTGTACCTCATCGACATGAACGAGTTAAAGTCTCTGTTTTCCTTTTGGAACTCTCAAATCGTATTTCTTTTGGTAGAGGCCTAAAGGGCATATGCCCTTTGCATTTGAAAGGAATTAATTAGTTTTCTTAAAATACTGTTATGGTTAATATCTTGGTAATGCAGGTTGGCCTTGAGGGCAGTGCTGTTGGGCAATGGTGGCTTGATATGATAGGGAAAACATTGGATGAAGGATCAACTTTTATGAGGGTTGGCTCAAGACAGCTAGCAGGCTTAATTATTGCTGTTTGGTTAGTATGATTTCATCCGTCTTATGAGGTTTGATAAACGTGATTTGCTGGTCAACTTTGGTGCTCATGACTATTCATTTGCTTCTTCTCTCTTTGAAGTGCAAATATTATTGTGATTAAAATTCATTGCGTTGGATACAATTTTGGGATGATAGTATTCATAGACACTTTATGGAAGTATAGATCATAAACTGGAAGATTATACTGAAGTATACTTTGTGAAAGTATTCTGAAATTACACCTCTGTAAGATTATATACTGGAAGGTTTCTTTTATCTTGCTTATTGCTTATATTAACAGTTGTCATGTTGCTAAAAGGGAAGGTTTTATGTTTCAGGGTGAGAAAAAGTTTGAGAACTTATGTTGGGGATATTGACGTTGCTGCAGTTCCTTGTGGCTTTGGGCGTGCTATTGGTAATAAGGTATCTTTCTTTTTGTCAACAATGGTATCTTTCTTTTTGTCTGTTCTATTGCTTCTCCCACCATAACAATTCTTATCTGTGCTAATTTTATGACTGATCTTTTGTGGTCATTGAGTTTATATCAGTTTGTGACTCTTTATTTTCCTATGTGTTTCTGCTTGATATTTGTTTTGCCATTTGGGCTGGCAGATTGATTCTTTCTTCTGTAAGTGCTTGTGAAGATTGATATGCTGGGATCAAGTGGCAATTTGTCATAATTCAATATTCAAATCAATTTAAGCTGTTCTTGCACAAGTGTAAAAGCAGTTTTCCTCTTATTTACACTGCGATCATTTGAAGAAGTTTAAAGTACAAAGAAGTAGGAAGTCTGGTAGCGAGTAACTGGAGTAGATAGGGTTCCCATATCAAACAATTGCGATGCTTTATACAGACATTGTAGTCTTTTCTACCTGAAGATAAGTTTTTAGGTCGTCAAGTGCTTTTGTTCCTTAATATGTTCTCTTATTTCGTTCCAAATCTGCTATCTAACATGCAGGGAGCTGTTGGTTTGAGGATGAGGATTTATGGTCGGATTCTCTGCTTTGTGAATTGCCATTTTGCTGCACACTTGGAGGCTGTTAATCGACGAAATGAAGATTTTGATTATGTGTATCGGACAATGGTTTTTACTCGACCATCTAGTTTTTCTAATGCCTCGGCTGGTATATTGCTTTATCTGTAACTCTATTTCCCCTACCCTTGGCTTGTATGTTTTGCCTGATCATTTGATCCAAATATTTTCAGCAGGTATGTCATCTTCAGTTCAAGTGCCGCGCAATGGTAATGTATGTATCCCTTTCCTCTGGCTTTCTTCGTTGCTTTGGGTGACTAATTGCCCGGTTATAAACTTCTAAACTTTCATTGGGAAAGTAACTTGGCTTGCTGCGTAGCAGGCTACAGGAAGTAACGTCGTTGAAGTGATGCCAGAGCTATCTGAGGCGGACATGGTTGTATTCCTTGGTGACTTGAATTATAGGCTCTATGGTATATCCTATGACGAAGCAAGGGATTTCATTTCTCAAAGAAGCTTCGACTGGCTTAGAGAAAGAGACCAGTTGCGAGCAGAAATGGAAGCTGGAAATGTGTTTCAAGGGATGCGTGAAGCTGTTATTAAATTTCCACCTACATACAAATTCGAGAAACATCAGGAAGGTTTAGCAGGTGCATTAACACTTCTTTGCTATCTTCTGGTTACTTGAACCAAGTTATTACTTGTTTATTTCAGGAATTTTTTTCTTTTTTTTTTTGAATTCTGATCAGCACTTATTTATTGTTGAAGGTTATGATTCTGGGGAGAAGAAGCGTATTCCTGCTTGGTGTGACAGAATACTTTACCGCGACAGCCGGTCGCATTCGGCATGTACATGCAGCTTGGACTGTCCTGTGGTGTCTTCAGTTTTGCAGTAAGATTTGGACTTGCCATCGGTTTAAGTTTCATGTGAATGTTTATTGATTGGTTTCACATGTGAGCATTCTTTGGTTTCAATATGTTATGGGTGTGTTACTTTTGATCTTTGCTGTAATTACCCTTGGTTTGACTTCACCTTCTACCCCACCCCCAAAACCACGGAAAAACTCATGTACCCCCATCTGAGGATAACATATTCACAAGCTTTGATTGTATAAAGTCACACCCTCCTCTTTCAGGTATGAAGCTTGCATGGATGTAACAGACAGTGATCACAAGCCTGTACGTTGCATTTTTAGTGTGGAAATTGCTCGAGTTGATGAGTCGGTGAGGAGACAAGAGTTTGGTGAAATCATCCGAACTAATGAGAAAATTAAGATTTTACTTGAAGATAGGTGTAAAGTTCCTGAAGCGATCGTGAGTACGAACAACATAATCCTTCAGAACGAGGACATATCTATTTTGCGTGTTGCAAATAGATGTGGTAACAGCAATGCACTCTTTGAAATAATTTGTGAAGGTCAATCGATCATTAAGGCCGATGGACAGGCATCAGATCATGTTCCCAGAGGTGCATTTGGCTTTCCGCGTTGGCTAAAGGTAATATCTGTTTCTTATACCCCGTCTCAATGGAAAAGTTCAGTTTTAGGAAAATGCATCTTAATTCAAGTTTCAGGGACGCAACAAAAACTGATTATTTCACCCCATTTCCAGTTTCTCCCTCAATTTCTAATGTGCTCGACATGTACGTATATCAGTGAGGGTATGAAAGGAAAAAGCATCAACTGAAAACTTTCAGAAACAAGACTTTTCTATTGGAAAGGACGGGAAGGGATATGATTTGGGGTTATTGGAATCCTTTCAGTAACAAAGATGCTCTGCTTAGACTGACATTTCCATGTATTTTCCTTTTAGGAACCCCTTTATGCAATTAACACCAAAATTCCTTCGTCTATGTGAAAATCGCAAACAAGCTAGCCAAGGGGTAGCAACTAGCAACTGATACTGAAACATAATGTTGTTACCGCCAATTTTTTTTTGTTTTATATTTGTTTACATCTCCATGGGATGAAGAAAAAAAAAAAAAGAAAAAAACATCTCCATGGGATGAAGGATATGTGTTGAAAGAAATTCTAAAGTGAGTTTGTCTAGGAAATTTTAAGGTTTAAATAGTATTTTCTCTGTTCTGTAGTTTTTCATAGTTAACAACCTGCTATGTTTCTGTGAAATGAATAATTTTTCTTTTACCATACCAGGTGAGTCCAGCGGCTGGCATAATCAAGCCACACCAAGTTGCGGAGATTTCAATTCATCATGAAGAGTATCAGACATTGGAGGAGTTTGTTGATGGTACTCCCCAGAACTGGTGGTGTGAAGATGCAAGAGATAAGGAAGTAATCTTGTTAGTTAGAATTCGAGGCAGCTACTCAACGGAGTCCAAAAGTCATCGAATTCGCCTGCGCCACAGCATTACGGGCAAGGTCGGGCCTATGAATCAGAAAGTTCAAAATTCTGTGCAGCAGCCAGCCAATGTTCTGTATCGATCTAACATTCAGCGCTTCAGTGGTACTTCCGACATTGTTGACCAACTGAAGAATCTACAACCCTGATCAAATTACATATCTCAGACTTGACAAGTACCGGCTTGTGCATTCTTTTCACCGAATGATATGATTAGATTTATTTGTTGTAAATATCTGCAAAGCCTCAATAACTCATCTGTCCGCCTTAGCTACCTTTTTCCCCCGGACACAGATATATTACCAAATGCCGCAAGAAGCTGTTGCAAAAGCGTCCATTTGACTTCAAGGTTTTGTTCATCTGTCTGTTTGCTAAATTTTGATGAGAATCAGAACACTTCTCTTTTGTATATGTGCATTGAATATGGAGGGCAAGAGAAGTTGTTTTAGTTATTCTCTTGCTTTCATACACCTTTGGTTCTGTTTTCATTAATAACAGTTACTCTCTGAAGTGTATCATTCTGATTCAGTATAACTTTTTATGTTCTTTTTTTCTTTTTCTTGGCAAACAGTGTACATTTTGATTGAAGATGATGAACAGAGCAGGGGGAAAAAAAAACAGACGCAAGAAAGAAGATAATCGGAAAAAGTGAACATTAAAACAAACTTCTTAATTGAAAAATCCAACCCACAACACTTGTATTACACCAAAAAAGATGAGTGTAAACAACAGGGTTCTTAATCACGAAAGGAAAACAGAATAACAACTAAACAGTTCCGAAACCCCCACGAAGACGGAGAACAAGGTGGAGGGTGGACTCCTTCTGAATGTTGTAATCAGCAAGGGTTCGCCCATCTTCAAGCTGTTTCCCGGCAAAGATCAACCTCTGTTGGTCCGGAGGAATGCCTTCTTTGTCTTGGATCTTCGCTTTCACATTATCAATCGTATCAGAACTCTCCACCTCCAAGGTGATAGTTTTCCCGGTAAGTGTCTTCACGAAGATTTGCATGCCACCACGGAGCCTCAAGACCAGATGCAAAGTCGACTCCTTCTGGATGTTGTAATCCGCCAGGGTCCTGCCGTCCTCGAGCTGTTTTCCGGCAAAGATCAACCGCTGCTGATCCGGCGGAATCCCCTCCTTGTCTTGAATCTTCGCCTTGACGTTGTCAATCGTATCCGAACTTTCTACCTCGAGGGTAATCGTCTTCCCGGTTAGGGTTTTGACGAAAATCTGCATACCACCGCGGAGGCGGAGAACGAGATGGAGGGTGGATTCCTTCTGGATATTGTAATCGGCGAGGGTGCGGCCGTCCTCCAGCTGCTTTCCGGCGAAGATCAATCGCTGCTGATCGGGAGGGATGCCCTCCTTGTCCTGAATCTTCGCCTTGACATTATCGATTGTATCCGAACTTTCTACCTCCAGGGTTATTGTCTTTCCGGTGAGGGTTTTCACGAAGATCTGCATACTGGGTTTTATCGAATATAAGGGTTTAAATGATTGGGAAAGAGGGTTAAGGAATTTCTGCGTTGCTGAAATCTATTAAAACTTATGATGGAAATTGCGACGAGGAGGAAGGATATTTATAGGACAGTGCTAGCGGGCTTTCTTGTGCTAAAGAAACCCGAGTACGACTAAGAAACGGAGTGAGCCCAATAAATCCAGCCCATTCCAGAACATTCTACTAGATTCTTTTTCCAAACTGACATATAAGATGGCGTCATGCGTTTTCAGAATACAAAAAATAATTTCTTGTTAAAAAAGTTTTTAGAAATAAAATTCTTCCCAAATGGATATTCATGATCACCATGAACAATCAATCATTTGATTCGTGTTGCCTCACAAACATGAGTAAATCGTGAGTGGTTATGCTGCTTATAAATAATAATCTCTAAAAATACAAATTACATACATTTGTTTGTTGTGTAATGAACAAAAAAAAAAAGAGTGTAACAATATTAAACGGGCAAAAAAGATGAAAAAAGAAACTGGATTTTTTTTTTTGGTGCATTACATTGATTTTTTTTTCCTGTGTCTTCTTTTTTGCCTGATTTTTTTTTTTTTGTCTTTCTATTGAAATTAAATTTGTTTTTCTATTCAATACCACTTGACAAATTTTTTTATATCAATTTTCTTTATTATTATTATCAACTGATTCGCTCAATTAAGTTCTCAGCATATGGGTTCCTAAATTAAGTTGTTTGTGCCCCTCTTTCTGATGAATTAGTGATGGAGCTCACTGGTCGCAATGTGAGAACCATGTCTTAAACTCCATCTACAATTGTAGTTAGACCTTCTCTTGGATTGATGGTGAAACTTGTAAAAAAGAAAAGGACTCGGTGCTCATCTCGGGGGTGTACCCCGGGATCGAACTCTGACGCCCAAGTCAGATAGGGTAGAGGTAAGACCAACCATTAAGTCATGGCAGTGAAGTGTGAAGTAAATGATAGAGTAAAGAAGAACAATGTGAACTTTATACTTGGAGGCTGATGAATATTATTTATAAAAGAGATACTCTAAAATGAAGAGTCAAGATCAATTATTTACTAGATTCGACCCGACCCAAGGTAAACCAATTTGGGTCACAGCAAGTGAGACTATAGGTTCCATCAACTAGCCCTGCAGTCCGGAAGCAGTAGTTTATACAAACTACTGCTTGTGGACTGGACTAGACCAAGGCGTAAACTAGTTTCATGCTAAAAAAGAGAAGCAACAATATAGTTACCAACTTGTGATCCCACCCTGCTATCACATACTTCGGTACGGGAAGACAGGGTTTCGACCATCAATTGCGATGCTTAACAACGGATATTGTTTTCAGCTTCTCCACTTCATAGAGGCGACACTATATAAAGCAAACACAAAATGTACACAATCAAATCACCCAGCCGCAATAAGCATTGAAAAAAAATAATAGTGTTGACACCATATTTCTTCTTTTACGAATTGATAGACAGCAACATTCAAGGAAAGATTCACAGAGTAAGTACCTTCTTCTGCAAATCTTTGAGCAATGACTTGACTCCACAAATAGTAGCAATGATGTGAGAATTAATATCAATAACATTCTGGACAGTATAAATCCCTTTCTGGAAAGTGCCATTCAAGACTTCAAAAATAAAAATAAATGAACGGAAATCAACAAAATGGAGTAAGAGAAAAAGGAAAGGGGGATGCAAAAAGAACAAACTTCAGGAAAGATGATCTGGGAACACGGGCGTTTTCCAGCCCCTTCACTCGCCGGCAATTCATCGGGTGCACTACATCGGGGCAAATCTTTCGCTAGAATAGATACGACTACTGTTCTAGCCTCATCATAATCAGATGGGGCGCCGGAAAAGCCACCGGCCGATGGATCTAATTTACTGGGTTCAGAAGCCATGATAAATTATAACCCCGAGGAAATAAGGAACAGGGGAAGGGTCAATTTATTTATACGAATATTATACGTATAAAACAAACACCTATTCTATTTTTCTATCCGTATATCCCCTGCGAAATCAACAATTCTATCTCAAAATTCTATTGTCCAGTTTGTCTCTCCTTCATAGTTTTCTCCCCAATTTTTTACCTCCTCAGTGCTTCCATATTTTCCAAATCCCTAAAACTTGGTTTTTCTATGCAGATTGCATTGATTCTTCTTTGTTTGAGGTTATGTGAAATCCCTTTACACATATGGATGCCAAAACCTAGTTCTTGCTCGGATTAATTATCAAAAAAGAAGGAGATTTGCAGAAAGAGTGACCATTTCCTTAGTGCTAGCAATGTTGCAAGTAACCAGGTAAATAACATACAGTCATGAAATAGTAAAAAGGAACCAAATTTTTCCTTCTCCTTTTTCTTTTTCTCTGAGATGGATAGAGTACGTATCAAATTACACGTGAGCAGGAAAATTATAGTTGTCACATGCAAGAAATATTATCTGGTAACGATTATCAGTTGTTTTTAATTAAGCTTTACTTCTATGTTTATTACTGAAATGAACTTGATCTCTGTCTTCTTCTGTCAATTGTTTCAAGGCTTCCATTTCCAAATCCACTTTACATTAAATCCCAATATTAATATAGACTACTATATGGAAATATATTGTTGTTGTTGTTATGAATATATGCTCTGGACCATAAGTGCTACCTACTTTACATTTCAACACAAAACACCCCAACCACCTAACTTTCCTTCATAACTCAAAAGGCTCTTTTATGAATAGCCTTGTCCAAACACCGACTGAAATATTTCCACCTGACCAGTGAGTATACTCAACTCTCAATAATTTGGCTCTCTGAATTAAGATTCCCATTATATTCTTTCTGATGACTTAGTGCATTCAGGTAGATTCCTTCAAGTTTCACCGGGAAAAGGTTGCAAAGATATCATTTTGAAGTAGAAGGAATTGTTACAATTTGTAGGATGGAGGTGGAGAATAAGCAGATCATATTCAAAGGGTACATAGAAGGACCTCCAAAAGAAACAGACATGGAGTTCAAGGTTGGGAAGAAGATTAAACTTGAAGCTCCAAAAGGGTCAGGCGCATTCTTGGTCAAGAATCTTTACTTGTCTTGTGATCCTTATATGCGTGGCCGCATGCGGGACTTCCATGGCTCTTATATCCCTCCTTTTACCCCTGGTTCAGTTAATACTCATATTCTTTCTTTTAGTACTTCAATTTTTCCACATTCCGCATCTGTTTCGTTCATTTTTGTCTTAATTCACTATGGGAATAGGTTTTCAGAGTATCATTGTAGAAGCAGTTTTAGGTGTCACTGGCTGAAATTGTGATTTTAACTCAGTTGTTGGAGGGATTTCTCCAAGTTAAGATCATTCAGTTTTCTTGTAAGATACCATTCCTGCGGGCAGGGGATTCTAATTTCGTCAGCGAAAGTCATGTGCAGATTATTCATGCAATCTCTTGCATTGGAAGTGAATTTCATATCAAGTTACTTTTCTGTCAATGATACAGGTTATTGAAGGATTTGGTGTCTCCAAAGTTCTGGATTCTGATAATCCAAAGTTTAAGCCTGGTGACTTGGTCTCAGGACTTACTGGTTGGGAAGAGTACAGTTTAATTTACAGAACCGAGCAGTTGAGGCTAATTGAGCCAAATGATATCCCGCTTTCATATTATTTGGGCCTCCTAGGTATTCCATTGCTGATATACCCATTACTGTGATTTCATATCTCCGTTTAATTAAAAATTCAGGGCTTTCTTTATTCGTGATTGTAATTTCCCGTCTTTAATGCCAAAGCTTTGTTTGATGCATTTGAGACCATTGACATACAAGATTGATTTAGAATCTCTGGAAAACTCTATGCCAAAGTCACGAACTACGATTGAAGATTTCTGATGATTGGTTTCTTCTGAATTGGTTGTATACTTGCATTAGCTCAGCTAGAAGACTCAGAGTTTTATACAGTAGGATAAATGTTGAAGGCCTAAAGGTGAAATGATTCTTTTTTCAGGATACTTGATTGCAGGAATCAAACTGTTTAGTTAGAAAACTTTTAAGGCTAGTTGAAGCATCAAGTTAAACAAACTAGCTTGATGGTTCCTTAAGTAGTTAAATTAATGGTCTTTCTAGGCGTCTGGTCTTTCAATCTTCCTTCAATGTTCCAAGCACTCCCTTTTGGTATTGATCTGATTTTCTAGGTTTTGGTATCTATAAATATTTCTACTTGGTCTCATTATCCGCTGTAACACTTACATTTATTTTCTTCGTATAAGATTGGCTAAAGTTATGCTCAGGAGTGGAAGATGCTGACAAGAGTAATCTACAATAGTTACTTTGATGTCTTATCTTTCAGTGAATAAATTTTTTTTTTCACTTCTGCCAAAAACTTCACCATAACATTTCTTTATTCTCAATCCTTCTGATTAAATCCACATCTTTTCCTTCCTTCTAAGTTTGAAATGACTAAATTGCCTGTGTTAGCCGTTGTTGTAAGATTTAGTTACTCTATCTAGTGGCAGATTAATGTTCTATAAAACAGCCAAAACAACCAAGACAACTTAGGGATTCAAGTGCAGGGGAACTATTTACCAAATGTTCAGATGGATATGTGTAGGGGAAATGATGACATCAGAACTGAAAATAGATTAATCCCAATATTTGAGGAAATGAGAGCACAATGGTTTAGTCACATGTGGGGGAATCTGTAGCTGCACCTGTACGACATGCAGAAACCAGAGAATTATCTACACAACTTCAAAGTAGGAGGGGAAAACATGAAATGATTTAGGAAAAAATCACTAAAAATGATATTGTATATCTAACATTTAAATCAAAATATATTCTTTCGTGGAACATGATGACTGGATATGGTTTATATAGCCAAAACAAAAGTTGAGGACAGAAGCATGATTGCTGTTGTATTGTGTTGTAGATCATTGGTACCTGTTAATTTTATTGTTTTAATCTGTGAAAGAAAGGTACTAAGTTTTCTCGGTAAATAATAACTACTTCAATTCAAATGAAATGATAGGTTTCTTATGTTGTTTTTTCTTCACTGAGCTTTTTAGAAACTTTCATTGTTCTAAACCATGGAATTAAAACAGGTATGCCTGGTTTCACTGCCTATGCTGGATTTTATGAGGTCTGTGCTCCAAGAAAGGGCGACTACATTTTTGTATCTGCTGCCTCAGGAGCAGTTGGCCAGCTTGTTGGTCAACTTGGTAAGCTGCACGGATGCTATGTTGTCGGAAGTGCTGGATCAAGTAAAAAAGTAAGTGTTTCCAAGGATAACGAATCTCTGTTGGAATTTTATCGGTATTTGAACTAGGTTTTGGTCATCGATCATCCAGTTTCTAATTTATGTTGAGGGCTTTTAGCTACTGTTGCTATTTGCATCAATAGTAGGAAACTGACTTTGTCGAATGTTAGGTTGATCTTCTAAAAACCAAGCTTGGGTTTGATGAGGCTTTCAACTACAAAGAGGAAAAAGACCTTGATGCAGCTTTGAAAAGGTAATGAGAAAATCATTCTTATCTGTAAATGGGAGTTTTATTTGATGGAACTACTGGAAATGATGGTATCAATAATTTGCATACATCCTTGATTTAAGATTCTGCATCAGTAGTGCTTTCTTCTAGTTGTCGAAGAGCTTGAGCTGATTTCATTCCCAATTGAATCTTTAACTGGTATATCTTATCTTCATTTTGCAGATACTTCCCAGAAGGCATCGATATTTACTTTGATAATGTAGGTGGAGATATGCTTGATGCTGCACTTCTAAATATGAGGATTCATGGTCGGATTGCAGTCTGTGGGATGGTTTCTCAGCATAGCACTTCAAATCCACAGGGGACACAAAATCTTTTTTCCCTAATAACCAAACGAATAACAATGAAAGGATTTTTGCAGAGTGATTACCTTCATTTATATCCTCGTTTTCTGGAAGATGTAATCAGTTTATATAAGCAAGGGAAGATCGTTTATATAGAGGACATGAATGAAGGCCTGGAAAGTGCTCCTGCGGCTTTTGTTGGACTGTTCGCTGGAAACAATGTCGGCAAGCAAGTTATTAGAGTAGCCGCTCTATGAACAATTGATTTACCAAACAAGTGAGTTTCCCTCCTTTGCTTAGTGAAATTGTTCAGATTGTTGTCCTTTTAAGTTGCTTCTTGTAACCATTTACTACAGATTGGGCCGTGTACTGGAAATCTCTTGATAGCTTAGTCAACCCATTTTTGGTGTTTTCTTTACCAGAGTATGATATAGCATGGCCAGAAAGAACTAACTAGTATTCGTCTAAAACAAATGCCTTTATTGAATATCGTAGGAATTACATGTATAGATTATTATAACATTCTACAACGCAGCGATGAGAGGGTACTCATCGTGAATAAAAGATTATCCATATATTAACAATGATACAACAACAACAGCACAATCCTATACCACACCGGACTCTCCCCATAATGCAAAAGCTTCCGTGGGGCAAAAATTTCTTATCTTTTGGCCCTTTGGTTTCGTATCTGATTCTGAATGTGATTCGATAGCACTAGGCTTTTGCAACGAGACACTATGAGGGGAGAGGAAAACCTCGCAAGTGGGTTGAATCAACACCCGATTCTCGCAGCAGTGCCACTCGACCAGTTCGTGCCACCTGAAAAAACAAAGAGTTAAGAGTTACTATCTAAAGAAAGGTTTCTAGGAGGACCACATTCTGTCTGCTAACCAATACCCTAAATCAGGCAGAATTAAAAATCCAATGAGTAGAAAATATTTGATTCAGTTCAGTTCCTGAACACTTTGAGATATTTGCATCTGTTATTTTTTTTTTCCCTATTCAGAGAGAAGAACACAAAAAAGAAAAAAAAAAAAAAAAGTGGGAACATCTAATAGAAAGGCAAAGATATGCCATGAAGGCAGCAGCTAACAGACCTCACAAATGCCATACGGCTCCAACATTCTCTGCAAAGCAAGCATCTTGCTGAAATCTCCAGTCAGCTGAGAAAAAAAAAAAGCAACAAACAACTGTATCAATAAGGTTGAACGCAGATATAGCAACTACCGAGGCACCAAAAAAAGGTTTAATATAGACTGGAAGTCAAGAAGGGTTTTAAATTCTATAAAAGTGAGGAATAAATCTTCAGATGTTTGTTTGTTCACTTAAATGCTACAAAATTTGCTTTAAGAGGAAAGTAGATGACAAAAGTGTGGAAGACACTACTATAGATTGTTAATTCATATGCATCCTCAACTTTTGAAGCCACAAAAGAAATACAATAGTAGATTCCATAGAAGCTGAAGTAAACAGATGAAATTTAAATTAACCAACACGAAGATGTCAACATGCCACAATTATTCTCCAATTTTGTTCTGGAATCAGGACCAACAATTCATTATGTTCAAGTATTGTTTGTAAAAAGCAAAGAATCATTTTGAATACAAACATCAATGTTTATTGCGGTAAACATTTCTGCCGGTGTATAATACATCCAGACAGATTCACTTACTTTACATCACCTGTAAAGTAACAAAGAAAAAAACAGCAGATAATGTGGTATCAAGTAGATGTCTAACAAGAACATTACCTCTAACGTTATTGTATGGTCGGATACATCAACAGGCTTGGCACGGAAAATACTCGCAATATCAAGAACATCTCGCCTGGCTGCAGTATTTGCAGCAACCTTAATCAACATCAATTCCCGCTCGGCAAAAGGCAAGTGAGTCAGGTCTTGGACCTAGTTGATGCAATGACAAAGATGCAGAGTTCAGGTACGGTTTCTTAGCGGCAGACACTCTCAAATTAGTAAATAACGTAAAATGGTATAATGTCCCAAAAAAGAATACAGAGACGTAGGAAGAAATGATTTTTTTTTCCCCATTGCATAGAGTCAGTTACATGAATCATACATATCTCACCATCATGTTCTACCAAAAAGTAGATCAAACATTTAGCAGTATGCTAGTCTAAGAAGAGCCTTTGGCAAGCAAGTTGAATTGGAAACAAATATTATCATGCCAGTACTACATCTTCAGTTTTTCACTTGAAATAAATTTCCAGCATGTGACTAAATTTGAAGAAAGCGGTTCTATCTGGCTTCCCATGATTAGAGCTGAAGACTTTTTCCAACCAATAAAACAAGTGAAAAGAAAGTGCTTAAAGGGAGCAAAAAGCTTGATAGGTTATTTTGCAATTTAAAAAGATGCAGTTGGAAAATTCGCAGCTCTCTCTCATAAAGATATTGCACCAGACTACATTTAATTTGATAAGATTTGACAAAAAAAATAATTCTCTTATAAATAACTAAAGACACATCAAGCACATTTTATCAAGCAATATGTCGGTGGGCCAATCGTAAACTAAGAGAATGCAATCATTATAAAACAATAAAGAATTGCTGCACCAAAAAGGCTGGTAGAATAGTTAAAACTTTAAAGATCTAGTTATTGCAGCTGAGGATCAAACCCTTCAAACCCATTCTGAAGCATAGAGAAAGGTAAAAGTCTTTATCAAGGCGTGACGATAAAGCAAGTTCAATTTTAGAAATTGTGTAGTTGCTATTAAAAAAAGGTGCAATATTCCTCACATCATAAATCTCCACCAATTTGTAGAATTGCTGCACTAATTTTCCAATAGTCTCATCTGTTCCAGGAACAACAGTTGTAATTCGAGAGAGCCCTTCCTTTTCAGCAGGACCAACAGCAAGGCTCTGAAGTCCAAAATTCAAAGGAACAGTTTAAGAAGTCACACAATACAAAGACTGAAAGTTACAAATGCTTAATGTGAAGCAAGAGACAACCTGAATGTTGTAACCTCTCCTCGAAATAACTCCAGTCACTAGATTCAGAACACCAGGTGCATTGTTTACAAGCATGGATAAAGTGTGTGACCGAAATCCACTTGACTGCAGCACAGGAATGAGTATAAGATGGATTCATGCACAAGCTCACACACACACGCACACACACACACACACACACACACACGAACCCAATTAATACTGGTCAACCAAAGTTTATCAACTTAGTGGGATGCAGCTCCAAACCAAATGGCTTAATGTTCATGAGCACACACTATAAAAATACACGGTATAAATCAAGACATCAACTTTGCATTCATAAAGTACTGACTACATCGTGTAAAAAAGTGGGTTATCAAAACCAGACTGCTTAACCACCACCACCACCCCACCCCACCCCGGCAACCCCTCCCAAAAAAAAAAAAAAGAAGGTTAACCAAAAATAAGAAGCAGAGAGTTACAGTGATGCAAAGACTAGCAACTCAGGTAAAACCAAAATTGAGAAATGGTATAATTACATCTTCATCATAGAGGACTCCCCAGTGGGCATCAAGAACTTGATTTACAGCAGAATAATCTTCATAAGGTTCCACAGGATAGACATCACCCTGCAGAAAAATTACAGAAACATGATTAATCCATGAGATAGAAGAATCAACACCATGCGAGCGAAATACAATATGGATTTAACTTCTTAGTGCTTTTAATATTTCAGCCAACTGAACCATGTGAAATATCAGTGAGAGAATGAAACATAACTACCCTCTGTCTTACAAAGCCTAAGAACCTGTTTAATATAGGAATTCAAATGTATAAGATAAACTGCATACAATCGGATGGAGCACATTAAATTTAGTTTGGCTTAACTACTGACTGATATTGGAGGTCAGAAGTAGGGAGGAAAAGAACAAACAAAAGGTTCTCGATTCAATGAAACTGAATTACAGTTACATTCCTAACCAATTTTCCATCAAACAGAACAATAATGGTGCAAAAACTGCAAATAGCACACACTCTTATACACAATTTCCTTAAAATACTCGCAGATATAAGCTCCAATGCATATATGGATGATGGATCACACATAAAGCATATGTATCTAATTGAAATGATAAGAAAACTTGTCTTTAAGATTAGAAATTCACATATCATAGTTCAGCCCAAACGGCAGAAGATATTAACCAGAAGAAAACCAGATCCATAACTTTGAAGAAACTAGTAATCATCACCAATACACATCTAAATGTAAATCAAAAGCATTCAGAAGAAATAGTTTTCTTGAAGAAGTAGTTCTTAAACTAGCATTACACCAAACATAAAATAGAAGAACTGGACCTTAACATAACATAAACTGGCAGCCACTGCTGCCATTAAAAATTGAAGATCATATGGAAAGAGGTAATGAGTCAAGAAGAGTTAACAAAATCATGTGAACATTTTGGAAAAAAACAAACTTTCAGAGTCAACCATATTTCATCTCTCAGATATCTAAAATTCCAATCCCATAAAGCTTTACTGGTCATCTTTCTGACTAAAATACAACATGGAAATTATAAGATATATATGAAATGCTTTTCCAGTTTAATAATAGAAGGGACATCCAATGCCTCAGAATATTCTTTGTTCATTAGTGAAGGATTCTCCAAGGTCATCAAAGATGGTAAATTATTTAGAAGAAATACATTAAGTTCACATATCTAACTAGATGCTAATTTGTGCATCATATGAATGGCATGAAAATCATTTCCCAAATATTACTGTACCCTTGAGGCATCGGTGAAACTGCCATTAGATGTTCCATTTGTAGCCTCCAAAACAGGTTGAAGGGGAACCTTTTTCTCAAGATCTGGATAAGAGGCAGCAGAAAACCTCCAAAAGGGAGCAGTCTCACCCATCTTTTCTCGCCTTAAAGCAATCTTCAAGTATCATCAATTTCAAGCATCAGTGCATAATCTGAAGAAAGCTTTTATAAGAAAGAAAGGCATAGAAATTGCCACCATAACCGAAGTCGCCCATATCCATGAAAAATGTGTAAACAGACAGCCCCAAATAGCTATGGCTACTTTCATGATGTTTCAGAAATCAGAAAACACAACAACGGAAAAATAGAGTAAGAGAAACCTAAATGCTATTACTTAAAGAACCATTGCCAGAATCCCCAAGAACAACAACCACAACTACAAATCAACTTTTTTCTCCACTATGTAAGGTCGAAACCATTTGACAGAACAAACGTAAGAAAAAATTAGCAATTAAGCATACCCTGCTCTTGTTAAGGATAGTTTTCAAATATTCCTTCAATTGAAAATCAAGAATTCACCTTGCCAGTTCGTCCAAGTTCCTTAATACCAAACTTGCTAAAATTTCTCAGGACAGCAGCCATCTTTCCAGGATCTCCAGTGATCTGAATCCACCATGCGAATGACATGAGATTTAAATGTTATTGGCAAACAGTTATAACCTCACACTGTCTCAAAGCAGTAAATAGTAAGCGAGCAACAGAAAATGCATCTTCTAGTGATATTCTTTATGTTTGTTCTTCATATTATTTAGCCCATAAAGTCTCCAACCATTTCTAGTTTTTTGCACCAAACACTTAATACAATTTCTTAGAATAGAGATTCGCAAGACAGTTCCCCATGAACGTATGTTAGTTCCACGTCAATTCTGTCTGATTTTGTTGGCTTTGTAGAGCAAGTGTGGATGATAAAGGGGGTAAAAGTCTCCAATTGTTCCTAATTTACAGTGTGAAAAACACTTCATTCAATAATATTTTGAAACTATCCATATCTGAGACAAACTTTAACAAAGAATGTTTGTCGTCTTCAAAAACTCATTCTGGAAGCATTGTGGAGAAAATGGTGAATGAAAGGGAGGCTTGGGGGAGCAACCACAAATAAGTTAATATTTGTTGAAGGTAGGAGGGAAAACAATCCGTGCCAACCTTCAATAGCAAGGAGTACAACAAATTGTGTTTCAACAAGCTGTAAGAACTTGGAAAACATAGATCAATCACGTGCAACAGTACCAAGCTAACAAAACCAACAAAATTAAAAAAATCACCTCAAGAGTCAGAAAATGCTCAGAACTGTCCACGATTTTTCCCCTGAAGATGTCTTTTAACCACATAATCTGGGTACAGGAAAAAAATGCCAAAATGAATAAACATATAATGGAATACAGACAACAAAATATATTAGAGCCAGCAATAACAACTCTCAATATAACATTATAAGCAGGAAAAATAGCTAATTCCCAGATCATCGTTGAACATGCAACTTTGAGAGCTAAAACTTTGATTCCATTAACTGAGTTGCCTTTTTTGATTTACATGAATTTGCGACAAAAAAAATAAATGAATATAATCAACAGTTTTTGAAGGGATGGGCACAAGAGAAAGATTTGGACTAGGAAGAACTTTACAAGCAATCATATGTAGACGCAAAACAATGCTTTACCATAATCCCCAGAGGATCTATCAAGTTAAACAACTGTCTTTTGAATCGATAGCAAAAGCAAGAAAACAAGATGAAGCTCAAGGCTAAAGCCTTTAACACATTTTTTCCCAGAAGTCGGACATAAATTCGTATAGGCATAGTTGCATGTAGGTAAACTATGTATCCAAGGATTCGCAATCCAGAGCAGAGCTCATTCACATAAATCATCTAGAGAGCAAAATTTTTTTGTAAAAAATAGAAGAACAAACTACATGTAAGCTGCTAAATGTTTCTTCAAGAGATTAAAAACAAGTTTTACTCTTCACATTATAAATTATTTTGGTTTTATGAGATCATTGCTTATCTATATTAAAATAGGAGCCTAATTATCTTCATAAATCAGAATGCATCCAAGAAAGCCACTAATAGTGATTCTAATTGCATTATCTTCGCAAATCAGAAAGCATCCAAGAAAAAAATAAAGTATGGTAATTTGAGTTTCCAAAAAATCTTTTCCCCCAATCCAAATTTGGGTGTAGCGCGATTAACAGAAGATGTGAAACCTTGCTTTAAACACAAATATGGATATGAAGGGGAAAAAAAAAAGTTCCGCAATGTACTTCTGCTCTTGTTTTCGGATCTGCATGGAGCTTAATGAGCATCAATTCACGTTCTACTTGTGGTTCTCTAGACAAATCTTCAACCTGGTAGATGATTAAATTGCAAATGAGTATGAAGGAGAAGTGAATCACAAAATATATGGTAAAAGAGAATTTCATAAGCACGAAATGGGGAGAAAATTTAGTTAGGTTCAATTTGTAGACTCTTGCAAGGAACATAATGTTTAGATAAAGCACATGATAAAACAAAGATGATGACCACACAAAGAAATGCAAAAGACTTTAGTTTTTATTCTACTGAGGAGGCACATGATAAGTCAGCCAAGTATGTAAGAATTGATCTTTAATGTCATCAAAATTTTTCTGCCATGAAATTGACTTAAGAACAAACAGAATAATGAATGGCAAATCCTGATGCTTCGCCACACAGAAAGCGCATGATGGATCTTGGCACAACGCCCTAAACATGAATGGTAATGCCCTAAGCAAAAGACAGTTTGAATAATGGCTACAAATTCAGGTAATCTCCTAAAACAAGGCAGCAGATGTACAGAAAAATTTTCTATGCATAACTTTGGTTTTCCCTCTTTCCAATCAAATGGCAATCAATGCTTCAACAGGATCCCCAGCATGGATGAATCCAGTTTGATTTTTTTTTTAATTTATTTATTTAGTAAGCTCTCTACCATAGTTTAATGGTGTTAAGCAGGGAACAGAACCAACACATAAAACCAGTAAAACAGATCGTTTGAAAGGTCAGTTCATATTACCTTCCACACATTTACAAGTTTGTTGAGTTGTTCCACGACTTGTTGCAAAGTCTTCTCGGTGCCAGAGACAACTATGGTAAACAAAGCCTTATCTTTGTTTAACCCGACAGCAAGAGACTCAATATTATAACCTCTTCGAGCAAAAACACCAGCAATTCGATTAATTATGCCACTTTCATCCCCAACAAAAACTGAGATTGTATGACGCTTCACCCTGAGGTAGAGGAATGCAGTTGTGTCAAAAACTTATTCAGCTGAAAACAGAGAACACAACTTGCAGATGAATTCCAAAACTAAAAAATCCAATTCAAGCCTCTAATCGTCAGTATCCAGACTGATAGACCACTATATGAGGAAAATAACACGCGAGCATCTCGCATATTTAAAATATTGTCCTCCGCACTGCAAATTGAAACATTAATTAAATTTCGCAATTAAGAGCATAAACTAGTTGTAGAGGATCATTTCCTCCTAAACGAAATTGCAATTTTGATGAATCGTCTCCAAAGAACATTTGACACAAGGCTTCTCCATGGAGTTTGAAAAGCAATTTCTCAATTAAACTCGAACAGGGGACGTATATCACATAAGAATTAGCAACAAAATCAAAGGTACGGACTGCTTTACCAGCAAAAATCTATCCAGCATTATCAGATTAAAGAAGTTACGTGAATTATCCTATCCAAATTTCTGTTTGTTTCAAGGAGAATTAAAAGTAATAAAAAAAAAAAATCAATCTCGAGCACTTTTCCACGACCAAGTTGTCAGTGTACGTACTGCGAGGAAAGAGGCGGCGGAGGAGGAGGAGGAGCCACCGGAGAGGCTTCCTTGACGGAAACCGAAGCTGCATGTCCATTGGGACCTGCTCCATTGTCATCCTCACTTGAAAGAGCACGAATGACATTGGGAATTCTAGCTTGCGTCCGGTAATTAACATAATAATTAGGTCTAAGCATACGCCACTCCACCAGCTGACATTTGCAGCTCAAATACGACGTCGGAGAAGGCGGTTGCGGCGGCGGCGCATTTGAATAATTAATCCGGCAATGTGACAGTGCCGCCGTGGCCATTTTTTTTTTTTTTTTAACTCTGAGTGCTAGTGGAATGGAGGCTGCGGCTAAAAGTTTGTGTATATATCACAGTGATGAAGTAGGTTTTTATACCGTGACGGAAGGTTTCACTAGAAGTCCGTGACCAACAAAACGGTGGTGGACACGTGGACGTAATCCTCAAACTTTAAAAAAAAAAAAAAACTAATTCAGGAAATCAGCTTTTTATTAATTTTTCCACAAGTAGTTTGGTACTGAATGAGAGTTAGGATCAGGCTAAATCAGGTGTCGTTTTGAATTCGGTAGAGACTAAAGATATCATGTCGTTCCAAAATTGTTGATTAAGTATTTATTATTATTATTATTATTAAATTTAGGCATTTGAAACTTTTCTAATCATTTTACGCTGTTTTGGGCAAATTTGGCAAATTGAATGATTGATTGGAATCACACATAGTCACACACTAGAGAATCATGTGAGAAATTTTTAAGTCTGAAATTGACCCACAGATATTGGGCAAGGTTGGTGGGTGTTACAAAAACGTATTGGTTAGGGTGCACAAAATAAATGCTGTAATGCAACTAGGACTAGGAGAACCAGACTCTTTTCCAACTTACATGTTCTTAGAGATCTTTTTATCCCTCCAAAAATAGCATTCTAAGTTCTAATCACGATATTTGTAATTTCAAACCGAAAACAATGTATTTTTCTTATCTAGTCTACATATAAAATTAGATCGGGGTTATTATTATATTATAATAATGCTGCAATGAGTCAAGTCAATCCATAATCCAAATAATTGAATTATGTCAAAATCATACTACAATTAATTATTATAATGCGATGAGTCAAGTCAGTAATCCAAATAATTGAATTATTATGATTTCTATTTATGTCAGAATTATTGTAGGTTTTGAGTCATTTAGTAATTATACCAATAATATGTGCAACAGAACACAATGTATGTTCATTTAGTGGTTTTTTGGTTCTTTCCTCTCCGGATAATGGAAACAACAAGTTGCAACTTCATGTTTTCTGACTTCTGTAGCTCATGTCCTTGTCATTTTCTCACATGTATATTACATTAGAAGAAAAATTTACAATAATCCATCTTCTCCTTCGTCTTCCCTAAAACTATATTTGGACTTGATGGAATGAAAGCTATTAGTCCTAATTACTTATTATGTTGTTATTTAGCTATATATTGTAAAGAGAACACCCGAAAGAAAATTCATTATGTCCAAATGAGGAAAACATCACCAATTGAAAATACTACTAGAGGGGCAAAATTTCATCACGATTCACACGAGTCTAAGTCTTCCCACTAATATTAGAGGAAAAAAACAATATTGTGGATTGTAGTTAATGTAACATTACAGCATGACTAATTATTGTCCTTATGTTGAAGCTTATAGGAATTATGTTCCTTTTGTCATACAAAATCTACACTAAAAAAGTATAGAAATTATGATAAGCAATGCTCCCTCTGTCCCAAAATTATTGTCCAGTTTGAGATTTCACTTTTAATACAATTTGAGCTAAAAATAAAAACTCAAACTAGACAATAATTATGGGACGAGGAAATACAATTTACGGGTAAACATAAAGTTGGTTACACACAACTTTTAGAAAGTTTAAGGACTGCTCATCATTATTCGCAATACTACTACTTATATCCAAAAGAATTTTTTTAAAAAATAATAATAATTCACTCATTTGTAAAGTAAAATTTAACATTGTGGACTATTTTTAGCATCTTATGAAATCAATGTTACAGATCAATACGCTCCTTCTTGTGGACTATTTTTATCATATGCATCCTATTTTCCTACGCATCTTATGAAAATTATATTCACCTTACGTGTGAATATTTTAATCCTTGAAAGTTGAAACTTGAAACACATTGCAGGAAGTGCATGTTTCACACTTACTATCAAAACTGAAGGTGAACCCGAACAGATTAGAGTAATGAAAAATGTGTCCTGCACGGTATCATTGTAATCAATCACTATAGATAGTTATATCTCAAGATTCATAATTGCACAGAATATCCAAGAAAAGTGAGGATAATCTTATTTGATGTATGATGATGATGGGTTGTCACTATATATGTAGCGTTATTTATTATTATTTTTTTTAATTTTCATTATAATACATCCGATAATGAAATTGTTACCTTAACTAGTTTGAATTTGGAACAAATAAATCACTCTTAGATACATATATAAATTCTTCTCAAAAAAAAAAGAAAAGAAAAGAAAAGATACATCTATAAATTAACCTGTTTACTTCGTTTTATGGGGCAAAATAAGGGTTTTTCGCTTAGATAAATTAAATTGCAATAATCGATCCAATGACATGTAATGTAATGAAAGCTCAAAAGTTAAAATATTACGGTATTTGTGAGTTTTTTTACACCTTTAGTATGTGAATTTTCTCTTATTTTGTATGAGAGAATTTTTTCCAGTTTCAACGTGTCCTTCATGTTCTTCTCGCATTTTTTATATGAGTAAATAATATCAAAATTTGATACCAAGTTTCGGTTGTCAAAACTTCGAATTCTATTCCAAACTTTTTTATCAATCACAGCTGACTGAATTCCAACAAGTTTAATGAGAAGTTATTTTTTTTTTAAAAAAAAAAACTCAAAAGTTAAATAATATCTGACAAAGTAGTTTTCCCTAATGTAAGTTAGCTCCACTATCCAAATTCTAGACCCTCAAAACATTATCTGTTTTCATTAATCAATCCATCATGAATCTCGAGTTGTCTTTCCTCATGTTTTACTATCTCCATTACAATACTATCGTTAACTCCAGTCTTAACTCATTTTATTCCCATATCTCAATCCATCGCCAGCCTACTAATATACTTTACGTACCTTTTCTCACGTGAGATCGTGGTCTCGTAGATCAAGTGCTTAATTAGTAGTATCACAGCGTTGCTAGAGAAAAGAAAAAAAAAATTGTATTTATCACTGTTATTATAGAAACTGAATTAGAACTATAGAGTAATGAAACTGTGCAGGTGTTATCTTTTCTGTTTATACACACAATTAGTGGACAGTACTTAAAAAATTTAATGTGAAAAGAAATAACTAATAAATATTTCGCACAACCGTCCCAAAGATTACAAGTATACATAAAAATAATAATTTTTTTAATTGTGTTAATTTAAATTTCCCACATCTTATACGAAACTGCTGGGCACCATCACCAAGAGGAAAAATTGGCTTTTATACCCAAAACTTTTGCCTCATCGTCAATCCTTCTTAATTGATTTTTGATTAGCCAATTTTGTCTTTATTATTTGAAATTTTTGCCAATTCTGTCCAGTTAGCATAATTTCTGTTAAACTTAACGGATTTTTGTTAGTTTTTAACAAAAAAAACCCTGATAGTTTCAAAAAAATTATAAAAATAACCCCAAAAAAATATAAAAATAACAAAATATTCCCTTTTTTTACTTTTTATTCAATTTTTTCTATTTCATTTTATTTTTCTTTACTACTTTTCATAACCATCAAATATATTATATGATCTTTAAAAAAATTATTATTTATTTTCAAACTCTATTTTTCATGTGCAACACGTGAGTTGGGTCCAAGGTACTTTCATCATAATATGTTTTTAAATTTTTAATTTTTGTATGATTTTCTTCTTATACTCCCTGACTTGTATATGTGGGTACTAGTATAATTACTAAATTTCAAGAAACAATTTACCTTTTGTATTTTAACTTTGAGGTTTAAAAAATATTTAAAAAATACACTATTAAAAAATACGTATTTATTTTTGTCATGAAATTCAATGATTGCTTGTATAGTTTAGCAATCGGCAAAGTAACAATAATAATTACTAAAAAATAATAAAAATAGTGTTGACCAAATTTACAGAAATTCATCATCGTGGACTAATTAAATTAACACATTTCATGTTTCAAATGATTTTCTAATTTTTATATTATTTTTATTACAATGAACAAAATAATCATTTTAGTTTAGATCAAGTAAAATTTATGTTTCGTAACTTAAATATGAATTACAGGAACTCAAGGAGGAAAGATTTGTCTTTGAAGATATTTTTATGTTTCTTTTTTTTTTTTTGTTTTTATTTAGAATGATAAACTATTAATTTTCATGTTTATTTCAACTCTATTTCTTCTTCCTCATTTTATTTATTTTATTTTTTATAATCTATTAAATAAAAAGGTAAATTAATTACTAAAATTTAATAATTACACTAGTATCAATATATATAAGTCCGAAAATATTAAGAAATTATCGTAAAAAATAAGCAAAAAATTTTTAAAATTCTTTTTAGTATAAAATGACAAAATTACCCCTAGACACAACTTAGGTGTGTTGCACATTAAAAATAGAGTTTGAAATAAAATGATTACTTTTTAAAAAACCATATACTATATTTTGGTGGTTATGAAAAGTAGTAAATAAAAATAAAATGAAATAGAAAAAATGAATAAAATGTAAAAAAAGGGATTATTTTGTTATATTCATATTTTTAGGTTATTTTTATAATTTTTTGAAACAATCGGGATATTTTTTATTAATAACTAACAGAAATCTGTTAAGATTAATGGAAATTGGGTCAATTAGACAGAATCGGCAAAAATTTTAAAGGGTAAGGACAAAATTGGATATTAGAAAATCAATAAAGTAGGATTGACAATGATACAAAAGTTTTTGGATATAAACGTCATTTTCTCCGGTACCAAGGATTAATAAAGAACATGCCACATTTAACATTGCCTATTAATTAACCCAATAGAAAATTTTCGTAAGCGAGCCTCCGGCCCGTTGAATATCTAAACCGTACCCGGGGATATTCTTCGAAATTCGCCAAACACATTGGATATTGGGCCACTGAACAAAGCCCAAACCACGTATGCCCTCCTTTATATTACCGTATACGATAATCATTAATCTGCCTGCGGAGACTTGTGCAGAGGCAATGACGCCAAAGCCAATGTAGGAGCCCTTGGTGGCGTGCAAGAAGAAGAAG